CCACGGCTTGCTGCCGCCGCCGTCGCAGGGGTGCTGCCTGCGGCGGCGGCGGCACGGCGTTTGGGTCCACGGCTTGCTGCCGCTGCCGCCGCCGCAGGGGTGCTGCCTGCGGCGGCGGCGGTAGCGCACGTGGCAACCCCCCGCGCTTCCTTGCCTCCCATCCACCGGACCCCGTCCTGCGCTTCACTTTGTTTCGGGAGGGGCTGCTCACTGCTCATTGCTCATTGCTCATCGCACACTGCTCAACGCTCATTGCCCTATATCCCACCCAGCCGCAGGACTCTACTGCCGCCCGCGCCCCGCCCCATCTGGCCGCTTGCGCGCCCCATCCCCCCTCGATGGGGCCCGCCCACACCGGGGCCTCCCCCCTCCCGCCCACTGCTTTCTCAACGGCCCCGAGCCGGGGCTGCCCTCATTGCATACATAGTGCGCCTTTCCCTGCTTTTCTAGTGACCTAGCGTTCCGCACTGCCGTTTGGCCAGCCCATGCTCCCGTACCGTTGCGTTTCTCCCCAATGCGCCATGCCACTTTGCCAGTCATACACACGTTTCGATGCGTGCCCTGTCAGCTGCTTGCGTTGCATGTCGCCTTGCTCCACCCCTGTTTTATTGCTTTCTCTGCTTTCGCCCGGTTCCCGTCCCGTTTCGGCGGGGAGTCTATGTTGCAAGCTAGTTCTTGCTTTACCAGACTTTAAGCCCACACAAGCACAAGCAGGGTGCTTGCCTTGCATGCACGACAGACCGGCAGCTGGCATGCGCACACAGCTGCCTGCCAGTCGCTCACAGGGGTGGTGCCTTGCGTGCCTCGACGATCTGCAGCTGCGCGTGACGAGGGGTGGCAGGACATGGCGCGCAGGGCCGTGGGCACAGTGCCGTAGTGGGACGAGCGGCAGGCACGTCACGTTGCATGGTGCAAGGCGGTAGGGTGCGCGACGGCGGCTCAGAAGGCGGCCCAGAGGCCCTCCGCCCCCGCCGACGCGCTCACCTGCATGGCGCAGGCCCACAAAGCCACCAGGCAGGCTGCCAGGAGCGGCGTTTCTCGCATCGCGATGGGCTGAAGCGCGTTCCGGTGACACCCCGACCCGGGCTGGTTTGTGGGGGCACACAGCGGCGGAGGTGCTAATCATGCGAGAGCGCGAGACCCCCCTTCGTGTGTGCCGGATACTGTGTCTCCCGCTGCCGTGTACTGCAAGGTTCACTGGTGAACGCCGGCTGGCGCTGCGCCTGCGCCCAGAGACACCCAGCACCGGTCGGAGCGTCCTCCTGGGCGCCGAGAAGCGGGCCGCCGGTGCCGGCAGAAAGCCCTACTGGCGGTGCCGCTGCCGACCGACGCCAGCGCGCAGCCGATACTGATGTGGGCCTCCAGAGAGGCCTGGTGCCAGCAGATGGTTGCCCTGCATCATGCAGCTCAGCGGCGGGCCGACGAAAGCAGGCGATGTACATGCGAGTGGAGCGTTCCCCTGCTGGGAGTACTGTCCGGCGGCGCCCGTCCGCCGAGCTCCCCGGCGGGGCCTCCTTTGTATGCATGGCGCAACTTACAGGTTGCCATGTGAACACATGTGTTGGATCAACTGCTGAGAGCATTCTACTGCACCAAATCCTGCCGTGCCGGCATGCAAACGAAAAATACCCGCCGCAAGAGCGGCATGCAGAGCAGAATCAGCAAGCACCCCCTAGGCTCTCCCGGCCTACCTTGCGGGATCCACTCGTGTCTCGGGGGGGTCAAGGTTGCCTGGAGCCAGTATTCATAAAATGCTTTGCGCCCTTCCATATGAATATGATTTATGAATTCACACCCTTACCGCCGCCCACCGCCAGCCGCCCGCCTGCTGGCGCACCGACAGCTTCGCTCGGGCAGCGGATGCACCTGTCAGGGTGCAGTGATGAATGAATTGGGTTGGCATGAGCGCGGTACTTGCATTGGCTGGAGATCGTGCCCAGTTGGTTGTGTCAACAAGTCAAAATCGCCGGGGCCGCCGCCGTTACCATCTCATATTGTACTTCATACCGTGTTAAGGAGCGCGCAGCAGCAGTGGCAGTGTGCTAGGCAGTAAGGGTCGCCGAGGCCCAAGGCGGCAACCATGCAGGCGCCGGCACCTGAGCGCAAGCCGCGCACCTTGGGCACGCTGGTGCTGGGAGTGGCCGGCCTGGCCGCCCTGCTCCTATTGGCGGTGGCCCACAGCTCGGCTGGCAGCGTTGGCTACCTCTCCTCGCCCTCCCAGCTCGTGTCCACCCTCACCGCAGCCTCCCTTACGGGAATGGACGAGAATAACTGCGTCGTGAGTGGCGCCGCGGGTGCTAGGCGCCAGGGCGGCCTGCGCCGCGCCAGCGGCGGCGGTTGCCGGCAGCACCCGCCGCCGCCGTGTTCCGAGTTTCTGAGGCAGAAAGCATTACGCTTGTGGCACAGGTCCGGGTCCTGCAGGACGGGCAGCAGAATGGTCGGCCGGCTGCCACCACCGCAAAGCGCTGTGCAACTGGGAGTAGGTGAGCAACGTCGAGTGCACACCTGAACTCACCCGAATCCACGCACTCACCCCCCGGCCTTCCTTTGCGGCCTCCCACGGAGCGCGCCGCGCGACTGCTGGGCATGCTGGCGGCGGCATGCTGGCGGCCCACGTTTCATCTCGCCATCGCGCGAAGGATCGCGATCACTGACTCCTTCGCACGCGTGCGATGGCTATAGGCCCGCGCACTCAATTCGAGTTGCCCACTCCCCCCCGATTGCCTCGCTGCCTCTCAAATTCGGCTTGATCTGCTGCCGAGCAAACACCCTTGAGCTATAGATTGGTGGGGTGCGCCGGAGAGTGGGCGCGCAACCATGAGTGGGAACGACAGGACACCAGTGCGGCCACACGCAGCCTTCACGCTGTCCGAGGAGGAGGAGCAGGAGCTGCACACGCATGAGGAGCAAATGGCGTTGAGCCCGGGCTCCAACGCGAGCCACCGCCCGCAGGCGAGGGCGTCGGCGGCAGGCAGTAGTGGGAGGCGAGGTGGGGAAGCCGGTGTGGTTATTCCGACTTGTCTTTGCCACCTGCAGGCTGTGTTCAACCTGGACCTTGAATACTCCGACGACGATGCTCTGCTGGACTGGGAGCAGTATGCGGGTGCAGCCCTTGCTTGCCCGATTGGCCTTTGGGGCTCACGCAGCGGCAGCGGCAGGAAGAGGCGCATCCCCCGTAACGCACTGAACCTGCGCCCTCCCCTGGCCGTAGGCATGAACCGCGTGCGCTGCTGCGGGATGGACTGCTCGCGCTCACCCTTTGCCCGCTGCCTGCAGCCGCCGCAGTGGTGGTGAGTGCGCTGCCGCCAGCACCGCCTGTTCATGCGGGCAGCAGCCGGCTGTGTGCTGCGGGAGCGGGCAGCCCTGGTGATGATTGCTGGCACATCGGGTCGGAATCCAACCTGTCCGCCTGTGTGTCTGCCGCCCCTGCCGCCGTCGCGTGGCAGGTACACCTACACCAAGAAGCAGCGGCGGTGCATGGTGGGCACGATGGTGGGGCTGGGCGTCCTGCTGGCCACGCTGGTGGCGCTGGTGGCACTGGCGGCGGTGCGCGGCGGGCGCGGGCCCAGCGACAGCGCCTGGCACACGGGGGACCCCATTGCCGACTCCCTGGCCTCGGCGGAGGAGCTGGAGCTGTGCAGCTGGGCGGGGTTCAGGCTACCGAGGACCGTGGTACCGCGGCAGTACAACCTCACCCTGGAGGTGGCCATGGAGGGGGACTACGGGGTGCAGGGGTCGGTGGGCATCGATGTGGACACGCTGCAGGTGAGCGGTGTGTGTGTGTGTGTGTGTTGTGTGTTTGCGTGGGTGGGTGGGTGTGCTGTGGGTGGTTGGCGCGGGATGGATGCTGGCGGCGTTCGTGGCGATGGCGGTGTGTGGCGGTAGCAAGGGGCGGGCGAAGCGTTCGTGCGTGCGTGCTGTAGCCACTGGGAGCAGCAGAGGCGCCTGCAAGCTGCCTGCTTGCTGGCTACACAGCCGCGCCTTCTGCCGTGGGTCTTGTGCAGGCCACACGGTGCGTGGTGCTGCATGCAGCGGACATGGAAGTGGTGGAGGTGCGGCTGGGAGGGCCCGAGGGCACCATAGGTGAGCCTGCCAAGCCGCCCCCTGGCGGCGCAGCATGCTTTTGAACAGGCCCGAGCGCCCTTGGCCTGCCAGCCGCCGCCTGCCTGTGCAGCAGACTGCTGAGCTGGAAAGCCTCGGCATCCTCAGCCACCCCGCACCCCCTCGTGCACCAACGCATTCTGTGGCGCCGCTGCTGTGCCGCTGCTGAGCTTGCCGTGCTGAGCGTGCTGTGCTGCAGGGCGCATGAAGGCCAGCAAGGCGCAGCAGCAGGTGATCCTGGGCTTTGATGAAGACCTGCCGCAGCCGGCGGCGGCCCTCTTCATCACTTTCAAGTACAACTTGAAGGAAGGGCTCAGCGGGTTCTACAGGCAAGCTTGTACCAAAGCATATGCTGGGCTCAGACGGCTGCACATAGGGCCTGCTCGGGGCGACACCCGGGCCCGCCCTGCTGCATAGCTGACGCCATTCCGCCTACATGCCCGCCAGCACTTCCTGCCGCTTGCCAACTCCCACCTGTCCCGCTCGTTCCGTCATGCAGGAGCATTTACAAGCTGGCTGACGGAGAGGCTCGCAGCCTGGCCACCACGCAGTTTGAGGCCAACTCCGCGCGGCTCGCCTTCCCCTGCTTTGACGAGCCGGCCTTCAAGGTGTGCCCCTGCCAAGCGTGCGTCTGTTGTATGCAGGACCAGGCGGCACCTGACGGCACCTGGCTGCCCGGCGCCGGCGGCTCGCACCTTTGGCCCACCCTGTTTTCTTCTCCGATTTGATGCGCAGGCTGTGTTTAACACAGAGATCATCGCGCCTGCCCACCTGCAAGTGCTGTACAACACCCCGCCGCGGGCCGTCCACACTGTGGGTCGGGCCTTCCGCATGCAGCCTGCCGTCGCCTTCTGCTGCTGCTGCTCGGCCCATGCTCTGTGTCCATTCCAGTGGGGCCGCGCAGGAGACTGCTCGACTGCGTGCCCCTGCCCCTGCCTGCCTGCGCCGCAGCACGAGCACAATGTGGAGGAGGGCACCCGCACCTGGCACTTCCTGCCCACACCCGCCATGAGCACCTACCTGGGTAGGGCCTCGCTGCCTGCCTGCCCATCCACCTGCCTGCTCACCCGACCTCCCCCAACACTAGCTCCGTCTGCCTTGCAGCATTGGTGCTAGAGTGCTGAGCTGCGCGCCTGCCAGCTGTGCATTTCTTTCTTTCTTTCCTCCCTCCCTCCTTCAGTCTGCTTCATCATCGGCGAGTTCACCAGCACCAGCCGTGTGGTGGAGGCGGGCGCCAGCGGTACCGTCAACGTCAGCGTGTGGGGCACGCCAGACAGGTGCGGGTGCCGTGCCGGCCTCACGGCTACTCGGCAGCTTCTGACCCCGCATTGCACACCCAGCAGCGCTGCCCAGCCTTTGCCAGCCTTTGTGAGCTCCCAGCAGCCGCCAGGTCTGGGGCCTGGTGATGCCTACCCGCTGTCCCTTGTGTGCTGTGTGCTGTGTGGCGTGCAGGGTGAACAACCTGCAGTATGCTGCGGATGCCGCCGCCGCCATCCTTCCCGCCTACGAAGCCGCCCTGGGCGTGCGCTTCCCGCTTCCCAAGCTCGACCTCGTGGTGAGGCTGGGTGGTGGGAGCTGGGCGGGCCAGCTGGCCAGGCTGGCCGCCCGTTAGCCTTGCCGCTGCCCCGCCTGTTGCACCGACTGAACATGCGCTGGCTGTGACGCGCATCTGCCTGGGGCTGTTCTCTCCTGCAGGCCATCCCTGACTTCTCGGCTGGAGCCATGGAGAACTGGGGTGAGCAGCAGGCCGTCAGGCACTGCACCACTGCATTGCCTGGCATGTCCCGTCTCTTGGTCTTCGTCTCTGCACTCTGGGGTCCACCCTTGCCTCCCTCCCCTCCTCCCCTCCTGTGCCCGAACCCCCCCAGGCGTGATCACGTACCGCGAGACGGCGCTGCTAGCCAGCAACACCAGCAGCATCCTGGACCTGCGCTACATCGGGCTCGTGGTGGCGCATGAGATGGCGCACCAGTGGTTCGGCAACCTGGTCACCATGGTGCTGCGCAGCTGGGGCGCAGCTGGAAGCTGGGGCGCAGGCTGGCACCACGGCGCCTGGCGCGGCGGCTCGAGGGCCGGTGTCCCACACGCCTGCCCACCCTGTTGCTGCCCCACCCACTCGCTCACGCGCACACGGCCTGCCCCTGCTGCCCGGCGCCTGCAGGACTTCTGGGGCGAGCTGTGGCTCAACGAGGGCTTTGCCTCCTACTTTGAATACATCGGCGCCACCGCGGGTGAGGGCAGGACACCCCCGGAGGGGAGGGCACGGCTCCCGCAGCGCACCCTCCCGCGCTGCTCTTCCTGCACCCTCTGGGCCCTCCTCGCCCAGCAATCGCCGCACCGCACGCACGCTGCCCCTCCCTCCTTGCAGCCCACCCCGACAGCGGCTACTTTGCCACCTTCTACTCCGACAACCAGCCCCGGGCCCTGTACTTCGACTCCAAGCGCAGCAGCCACCCGCTGAGCGTGGAGGCGGAGACGATGAACAGCACCAACACGATTGAGTCGGTGTTTGATGCGGTGATGTACCAGAAAGGTGGGCCCAGGTCCTGCCAGGCACGCCCTGCACAGCTGCAGTTCGGGAAACCGATCAAGGGGGTCCTGTCTGCTGCCGCGCCCGCCCCGCTCCCACCCTCGCATCCATCCCTGCCACCGCCGCCACCACAGCATGCATGCGCCATGAGGGGGCCGCGGCGCACGTGTGCACGCCTGTGCCTGTGGCACTCACCAGGCCTCGGGCCCTTGTCTCCATGCAGGCGCCAGCGTGCTGCGCATGCTGCGTGCCTGGGCGATGCGCGGCAGCAAGGAGATGCCTCTGCCCATGTATGAGACCACCCCAGGGGCCACCTACGACCAGGCGCGTGCTGGCTGCACGGCAGCAGACGCGGCCACCCGGCAGCGGCCGCGGCCACCCGGCAGCGATTCTCAGCAACTCGTTGCTTCACATGCTTTGCTCCCCCAGCTTTCCAGGCTGTGGTGTAATGTACGGCGCCATGCAATGCTCATGCCTGCAGGACCGCTTCCTGGCAGGTCTCAAGCACTACCTGGAGCAGCACGCCTACAACAACACCCGTGCCCCCGACCTGTGGGCAGCCCTCGCTGGTAAGCCAGCCCAGCCCCCTGCTGCCGCTGCCGCACCTTAGCCATGTGTGCTCTGCATCTTCGTTCCGCCACAACATCCTTGCCCGAAGACGATCTTTCTGTGGCCTCTGACCACAGTCAGTTCACCTGGTATTAACCACGCCCCTCTGCCTGCAGGCTCTCTGGGCTTTGATGTGTCCGCCGCCATGCAGCAGTGGACCTACCAGCAAGGCTACCCCGTCGTGACTGTGAGCGTGGACGACCGCCGCCGGGTGTGGCTGCATCAGGCGCCGTTTGGCCTGCAGGGCGTGTCGGCCTGCGACTCCACTGCCGCCTGGTGGATCCCCATCAGGTGGGTTGGGTTGGGGGCCTGCAGCTTGATGGCGAAGAACGAACCGGCATGGCGCGCCAGCCCTGCGTGCTCTCTTCCACCATGCTTCAGCCCGCTGGCAAGCTGCCTGCCCTGCCCGCTGCTGCAGCTACGTTACCAGCGACAAGCCGCAGCAGCTGCGCTGGACGGAGCTCAAGGGCTGCCAGAGCAGCAAGCCGCTGCTGACGCTCAAGTGAGTGGTGGAGCTCCTGGCTGCTGCAGCCCGCAGCGCTGTCGTACCCTGGACCCTGCGCCCATAGTCGTCTGTCTGTGTTCTATGGTGTTCTCTCCGGCTGTCGACCCTCTGCATCGCGATTTGTTGCGTTTGTTGCTGCCTGCAGGAAGGGCAGCAATGCCTGGGTGAAGCTGAACGGGCAGCAGTATGGGTACTACAGAGTGGACTACCCCACGCCCATGTGGACGGCACTGGCAGAAGCCGCCAAGTGAGCGCTGTGTGCTGCTGCCCTGCGGTTGCCAACCCCATGCCCGGGTGGTGCCAATCCCGCTGCCAGCTAGCGGCTAGCCCCCCCCAGCTGGCGTGCCTTTTTGTTTCCACGCTGCAGGGCAAAGGCCGGCAGCGGCGACGCCATGCTGCTGTCAGGCACCGACCTGGCAGGCCTGATAGAGGACAGCTACTCACTAGCAGAGGCAGGCGGGGGCCTCATCACTCCCTTCCTCAACCTCCTCACGTAGGCAGCCGCCTGGCTAGGCGGATAGGAGCATTGCTTGCGGCTGCTGCCATGCTTTTGTGTACAGCCCTGCTTCACTGCCGCCTGTTTTTTTGGCAGGCCAGAACCCTGCTGAGCTTGCGCGCGTGTCCCGGCGCTGCCGTGCGTTGCCCTGGGTGCAGGGCGCTGGAGGCGCAGCCGCCCCAGGACTACGAGCCCTGGGCGGCTGCCCTGCCTTACATCTACCAGCTGGAGCGCCTGCTGCCCTGCTACACAGGTTTGCCCCCCGCTGGCCAGCTTGCGTTAGCCACCGGCCTGCTCATTTGCGATTGCCGCCATCAGATGGTCCCCACTTCCTGCTCCACTGGAATGCTCCCTCCCTGCCCTGGCGCAGACTGGCAGGCGTGGGTGCGTGACGGCCTGCTGCACAACTACCTGCGCCAGCAGGTGTGTGGCAGGCCTCTGGTTCGAAATCCTTCCGTTGTCTTGCCACGGCACCGCAATGCTTGTCCCAATGCCGAGGGGCAGGGCAGGACGGTCAGCAACGCAGCATCGCCGGGCGTGCTGCCGACTTGCTGCGCTTGGCTGGCGCCGCTGTGCCCGCAGGTTGGAGGGGCAGGCGGCAGCCAGAACGCCAGCTCCCCGAACCAGATGCTCTTTCGCTTCGCCGCAACAGAGACCAGCGTGCCCGCTGAGCAGCAGACGATAGGCTACCGCCTGCTGAGGTGGGGCCTGCCGGGGACAGAATGCAGCTGTGGCTGCCGCATGCCACACATATCTCGTGTGTTCCCGTTTCCAGCCTGTGCGTGCCCAGCAGCTGTCGCATGTTGTCATGCAGGCCTGCCATCCTGAGGGCTGCGGGCCTGTTTGCAGATACAGGCATCAAGGTGCGCCGGCTTCACAGCCCTGGGCTGCGCTCCCTGCCTGTCCAGCCACCTGCCGCTCCCGTGCCCCACATCCCATGCTCCTCCCCTTCCCCACCCTGCAGGCCGCGGCAGCCAACCTCTTCACGCAGCTGGAGGGCGCGGAGGGCGCTCCGCCGGAGGAGGCGCCGCCAAACACGCTGGACGCCGACATCCGGGATGCGGTGTACCAGAGCGCGGCGCGCACCGACATCTACGAGGTGTACCAGCGGGTGAGGTGGCATGAGGTGGCGTGAGGTGGCATGAGGTGGCGTGAGGTGGCATGGCGGGGGACGGGCGCCGATTTGGGGAGGCTGGCAGCAGGCTGCGCGCTTGAAGCACGCGCCTTGGGCAGGCCTTTCGGCGTGGCTCGCCTCTCCTGTGGAGGATGTGGGGTGTGGGCAGGCGCCTTTGCCAGCACTTGAAGCCTCGCAGCCAAGGCGCCCGGCGCTGCCTCATGGCATGCTCTAATGTGCCAACCACGCCAAGCATGTGCTGCTAGCTCAAACCTCCCCAATGTCCCGCCCTGCAGCTGCAAGACATGTACAAGCTGGCCACGGAGGCGGATGAGAAGGAGCGCACGCTCATGGCCCTGGGCTACGCGCCCGGCGGCAGCCGCGTGCAAGCCACCCTCCAGTTTGCCCTGTCGGAGGATGTGCGGGCCCAGGTGCGGCGCCGCCGCCAGCAGCACGCGCGGCGGCACGGCGGGCGGGGATGCCAGCCAGCCGGCGATTCAACGCGCGCGTTTGGCGACGGGACAGCGTGGTGCGCTGCGTGGTGGCTATTCAATGCCGCTGCCCCCGCCGTGTCCCGCTGCCCGCGCAGGATGCGCGCCTGGTGATAGTGAATGTGGCGCGCAACGGCGGGCACAGCGCGCTGGGCCTCACCTGGTCCTGGCTGGGCTCCAACTACAAGCAGCTGCTGGCCAAGCTGGGAGGTGGGCAGTGGGTGTGGGTGCCTGTGTGGCGATGGGTGTCAGTCAGTGGGGTGGTGGTGAGGCGGTGCGCCATGTGCGATGCGCCATGTGGGATGCAGAGCTCTTCCCTTCACCCACCCTTTGCCCCTCCCTGTGCACCGGCGTGCATGCAGACGATGAGGAGGCGCTGCGGCGGGTGGCCCAGGTGGCGGAGGGCGTGGCCTCGCTGTTTTCCAGCACCGAGCGGCAGCAGGATGTGGATGCCTTCTTTGGGAGGTTCAAGGTCAGCAGGGCATGCCGTATCCCTCGGTTTGCACTCTTCGACGGCGTTTGAGTGTGGCTCAAGTGTCGCCGTGAGGCCCTTGCAGCAGCTGGGATGCACATGGCACCCACCCAGCTTCCTGACGTTGCTGCCTACCATCCCATGTATGCGTGCAGGACAAGCAGCTGGACCCTGGGTATGCGGCACGCACCAAGGAGAGCATCGCCGCCAATGCGCTGTGGCTGGAGAAGCACGGCGACGAGGCGTGCGCCTGGGTGGCGGCGCGGCGGCAAGGCGGCGGAAGATAGCGGCAGCCATGGCAGCAGCGTGCACGTGCTTGCACTGTGAGGATGTAATTGTCTGCGAAATTGCTGCTGGAGGTTAAGGACAGCCACGGCTTCCCCGCCGCCACTCTGGCGTGACGGCGCATTGCATGTGGACCCCCCCGCCTCACGGTCTCCATCCACACTGCAGCCTGCGGCGGTTCTCGAGCTGCCAGGGCAGCAAGCATGGAGAATGTGCTCCTGCACACGGTGCAGCTGGAGGACCAGCCCATGGCAAGAGCATGCCGCGCGCCCTGAGCATGGTTGTGATGTTTGGTCGCTGCACTGCTGACTGAAAGGCTCGTGCGGGTGTGCATTGGCCTGCAGGACGTGGACATCCACCCCACGCAGCGGCTGCTGGCCTCCGGCGTGATAGACGGCCACTTTGTGCTGCACGACTTCAGCGATGGCGCAGTGGAGCAGCGGCACAAAGTGAAGGTGCAGCCTTGGCGGCGCTGCCGCTTTGCCGCCACCCGCTGGCAGCAGCCTTTGACCACCTGCTGCGCTGCATGCATCCAGCCAGCGCTTCCATGCTGCGCCGCGCGCCCGCTCTGTCCCTGGCGCAGGCGCACGCCACCAGCTGCCGCGCGGTGCGGTTCTCAGGTGGCGGCGAGCTGCTCTACTCTGGATCCACCGACTGCTCCATCCTGGCGGCCGACGTGGCCAGCGGCAAGGCGCAGGCACGCAAGAAGGAGGCCCACGACTCAGCCATCAATCGCCTGGCCACCATCAGCGCCAGCGGGCTGGCCTCGGGTGGGTGGCGGCACCTACACATATTATCGCAGGCCCTGCTGCTGCGGGCAATGCCGTGGCGGCCGGCAGCTGTGCATGCCCTGCCCCGCTGCTCTTCATCCCACCCCGTCGTGGCAGTGCCCTGCATCCCTCCCTCCCAATGGATGCCTGCCTGTATTGCAGGGGATGACGACGGGGTGATCAAGATGTGGGACTCTCGCCAGTCGGAGGCCACCTGCACGCTGGAGGCGCACTTGGGTAAGCTTCCTTCTGCCGCCGTGCCTGCGTTCTGGTGTCCGTCCTCCTGGTCTTGGTAGCTGCCGACACATGACACATGCACGCAACCCTCCCCACACACCCCACACAGACTATGTTGCCGACCTGTGTGTGTACGCCGAGAAGCACTTCCTGCTGTCGGCGGCGGGGGACGGCACGCTGGCAGTGATCGACCTGCGCAAGAACAAGGTGGGCCGGGCAGCCTGAGGTGCACCACACACCCTGCGGTGGCAGCAGGGCCTTGCTGTAGGGGCAGGCTGGCAGCACGCTCAGGCGCTTCTTGCTGGCAGCGCCTGCTGGCCGGCGTCTGGCTCACACGGCTGCCCCTTGTTTCCGCAAGCGCAGATCATCGCTCAGTCTGAGGGTGATGCCGACGACGAGCTGCTGTCTGTGGCGGTGGTGAAGGGCGGCAAGAAGGTGGTGGTGGGCAGCACCAGCGGCGTGCTCAACATCTGGAGCTGGGGCTACTGGAACGACTGCTCAGACCGCTTCCCGGGTGGGTGGGTGGGTGGCAGGGGGGCTGGGGTGGAGGCCCGCAGCCGTGGCACCTTGAGCGCCTCCCTCCCTCCCCTTGCTCCGCCTCTCTGCTCTCCTGCCTGTGTCTGCTGACATGTCAGCACACCCCACGTGTGCTGGACCTGCAGGCCACCCCGAGTCGGTCACGTCCATCCTGCGGTACGATGATGACAGCGTGGTGACGGGCAGCAGCGACGGCCTCATCCGCGTGCTGTCCATCCAGCCCAACAAGATGCTGGGGGTACTGGGGGAGCACTCGGGTGCGCCGCGCGTCGCGTGCTGCGTGCGGCATGCGCGGCACGACCCGCCTGGCATGTGCACCGCAGGGCCTGCCGGCACCTGCCGGCCGCTTCGGCTGCGCGACACGTGCCGTGAATGCTTGCCGCCTCTGTTGCCGCCGCCCTGCTGCAGACTATCCCATTGAGCGGCTGTCTGTGTCGCCAGACAGAACCGTGCTGGCCAGCGCTTCCCACGACAACAGCGTGAAGCTGTGGGATCTTACACAGCTGGCGGAGGGTGATGAGGATGATGAGGATGCTGGAGAGGAGGAGGCAGAGGAGGAGGAGGAGGCGGCGAGCGAAGAGAAGGCCGAGGGCAAGGCTGGCGGAGACGAGCAGAGCGACGGCCTGCAGGCAGCGGCGGCAGGTAGTGGGCCGGCTGGCCAGCAGCACACGGCTGCGCCTGCGGCGGCGGCAGCGCCTGCAGGAGCTGGCAGCAGTGATAGTGACGACAGCGACAGTGACGGCGGGCGGCGGGGTGCGAGGCAGCACAAGCGGAAGAAGGGGCAGCATAAGATCCAGAGCAAGAAGCAGGCAAAGGGCGGCAACTTTTTCTCCGATCTTTTGTGACACACTGCCTCGCTGCCCTGACCCGCTGCCCTGACCTGACTCACATTGTGACGCGACCAACGCATCACAAATTACTGTCCGACCGTTTACAAATTCGGCAAACAAAAAAAGAAATCCCAACCGTCAAAAAGTCGCATCAAGGATCAAGTTTTTGCCCACAGGCACAAAAGAAACACCTCAAAACTGTTCCGGGCGGTGCCCACCGTGCGGCCCTCCGAGCCGCGTGCGCCTCATGGCAGCGCATAGCCCAGCAGGAAGAGGACGAAGAAGGCGGCCAGGCTGCCGAAGATGAGCAAGCTCTTCTGCTCTCCCGTCATGGCGTTGGTGCCCAGCCCGTAGCCCTGGTTCTCCGCAAAGCCCGCCACCTGCGAGGGCGCGGTCGCACCAGAACGTTGTGGCACAGCAGCAATGCGCACGGCAGCAAGGCACAGCCGCGGCGACGACGGCACCCATTGAAGGCACGGCAAGCAGCCCCGGCAAGCTGCCAGGGCGCACCTGCAGCTGCTTGGAGACAAACAGGGACTTGGCGGCGCCGCAAGTCGGGCACTGCCAGTCGTCTGGCAGTTGCTGCAGGCGGGGCCACGCGCAGGGCGCTGGCAATGTTCAACAAACGCACCGGCGGGGCCCGGCACAGGCTGGCCCGGGTGGCGCTGGCAGAGGAGCACGGCGCCAATGCCAGACAGGTGTTGCGGCCGCTTGCCCGGCCCTCCACAACCCGCCACGGTGTGCCGCCGCCGCCGCCCGCACCTGGAACTGCGTGCCGGCGACACGGGGTACTCGGGGTCTCCCTTGGCGGGCTTGTACTCGTAGCCGCAGTTCTTGCAGCTGGCCTCGCCCGTACCCACCACCATGAACTTCTCGGCCGCCCGCAGCCGCTCCGCCTCCGCCCGCTTGCGGGACGCCTCGGACTCGGGGTTGTCCAGCTCAGCGCCCGCCTCTGCTGCCAGGGGCTTGTCCGCCTCCGCCTCCGCCCGCACGCGCGCCAGCTGCGCCCGGCGCAGCGTGCGAGACGGCGCCTGCAAGGAAGGAGGGGTGGCGAGCGGGCGGGCGGCGGCGTCGGCGGCAGCGGGCAGCAAACGTCACCAACAGCCACACACTTGCCGTCGGCGGCCACCCAGCAGCTGCGATTGTGCCATGTGGGAGCCTGGTGGCGCCTGTGTGCTGCCGGCGCTGCTATTTTCTGCACATGGAGGGGACCGGCGCAGCAGCGAGCGACGCAAGGCGGGCGCCCACCCCATCGAACTCACCCTGCATCGGAATGCGGCAGAGCTGCGGGTGGCGCTGCGCGCCAGCGACTGCTGCGGGGTTGCGACTGCACAGGCCTGCATTGCGCTGGTTGGCTGCAGCTGTGTGGATCAAATTGGAGAGCGGTTATGCTGAGCGAACGGCGCCTTGGGGCTGCTGAAGGGTGGTTGGAAGGCCCGCCGCCAACGCGCCGCCGCCACATGGGCGAAACACTGGGCGCACCCCTGATTCCTGCGCATCGATCAGCCGTGTAGGAAGGCACATCCATAAACAGAAGGGCCATTCTGTTACATGCCCTGTCCTGCTAGTCCACCTCAGTCTGCCCCTCTCCCCGCGGCCCCGCTCCATCCGCCGCCCCATCCTCCAGCAGCGACTCGAGCACCACCGCCGCCGCCCGCTTGTGCAGCACTGCATTGTACTCGCTGCACTCTGTGTGCTGCACGCAGGCGGGGCAGCCGCTGCGCCCCGAGCAGCCGCACTCCCGCACCAGGCTGAGCGCGGCACGCAGCAGCTCCGGGAACAGCGGCGCAGCCTGCAGGGCGGCAGGCGGTCGCCAGTGTCGGAAGGATGGCCCACTTCTTGAAGGCATTGCTCGCAGCACATGCCGAGCTGTCTGCATGGCATCGCCCAGCGAAGCACAGCGCCCCACCCACCGCGGCAGCCAGGCCGATGCCGCCGGGGTGCTTGTCAAAGATGAGGATGCGCTCCGGCTTGTAGCGGGTGTCATAGGGGTTGTCGCACTCTGCCCAGAGGAGCAGGCGGGTGGGGCACGCAGCGTTAAGGGGTTGGGGCGCTGCTGAGCGGCAACATGAGCAGAGCATTGCATGAGCAGAGCATGCATGGCATGATGCCTGCTGGGCTCCCGGCCTGGCTTCCCGCCCTGGGCCCACCTGTGCCGACATCGTTTGGGTTGCACATGAGGTAGAGGGGCAGCACATTGAGCAGCGCGTGGCAGGCGGCATGCACGCCGTCGCGGAAGGGAAGGCCTGCGAGGCGGCATGGCACGACTGGTTGGTTTGGGTCGGCCGGCGTAGGTCACCAGGGGCTGCTACTGGCAGCACCGTCCAGGCCACAGCCCATGGGCAGAAGTGGGCAGCGGGCTGGGAGCTGCTGGCGGCGAGTCGCACCGGTGTCCTTGAGGCGCCGCCGCGTGGCTTGCGGCAGGCAGCAGTAGGCGGCCTCAGTCTCGAACTGGACCTGCAGCAGGATTGGTTGTAGGTGCAGCTTACTGTTACTCTTTGGTTGCATAATCGCCTGATGTATGGTGTGATAAAACCTCATTTTGGTACTGAGAGCAGTGATCTCACGTCTGGCAGGAAGAGATCCACGGTGTCAAACACTGCGGGGCGGGGGGGGTGGGGAGAAGGGGGGGCAGCTCGCTGCCTGGCGAGCGGCAAACAGCATGGGGTGGGGCTCCAGGGCAGCACCATGCATGCAGCGAGGCGCCAGCACAAGAGTGACAGCACGAAAGCCGCCAGCCCCTGGCCTCTCACCCTGCCCTGTGCCTCGCCAGATGCGGCGGAAGCCCAGCCACCGCACCGTCACCACCGCCTGGCTGCACGCCGCGGCCGGGGCGCGGCCCTGCGCCTGGCCTGCCGAGCTGTGCCGCGGGCCTTGCCCCGCCGCATTCCCGGCAGCAGCGGGAGGAAATGCTGGGCGCCCGCCCCTCACATGCACGTCTGTGAAGTCAATGCACCTGCAGGTGAAGGCCGCAGCGGTGCCCCGTGGTCGGGCGCTGCCAATCCTGACTGCACACGCGCCAAGGCAAGCGCCCTGCCACGTGCCAGCTGCCGCGCTGCCAACCCCACACCACCCACACCACCCCGCCCCTCACTTGGTGTAGTACTTGACATCAGCGGGGCGCACCACCGCCACGCGTGCATCCAGGTCCAGCTTCTTGCACAGGTAGGTGCGGCCCTGCACGGAAACAGGTGTTGCGGCGGCCGTGTACGGCACACCCGGACACACGTTTTCAAAACAGCATGCCAGTGGTACTGCCGGTGGTACCGCACCGTACCTGGTACATGTACACCGCGCCGTCGTACACCTGGAAGAAGGCCTTGCTCTCCTCAATCTCCTCCAGCAGCTGGCCCCCCAGCGACTCGTCCACAATGGCGTACCGCTCAGGGTCGATGGCACGCAGGCTGCAGTACCGCCCAGGGCGGGGAGCGGGAACGGGAATGAGGGGCATGCACATGCAAGCTGGCGTGCAAGCAGGGCCAGGGGAGCGAGGGCAGGTGGAGGGCTGGCTGCGTGGCGGTGGCGCGCGGCTGATGCAAAGGCGCCGTGCCTTGCAGCTGGTGCCGGGCCTGGTGCCCTCTGTCCGCCTGCTGTCCGCTGTCCTCCACTGCCTCCCCACCTGATCTTGGAGGCCGGACTGGCCACTGCCCCGACATAGTGCAGCACGCGGGGCGAGGGCGCCAGCGGGTGCCGCCCCAGCAGCGCCGCAGACTGCAGCGCCGCAGCAATGGCGGGGAGGCCTGCGACAGATAGAGAGGAGGCCAGGCGAGTAAACACGCTTTGCGTCTGCCTTGTGCTGCGCTGACTCGAGGCAGCAATGCGCACTTGCCGCATGTTTGAGATCTGAGCTGCCAGCGCTCGAGGGTCCCACAACACCCAGGCTTGGGCTCTCAGGGTGCTAAATTCCACCTCCACTCCACCCAAGCTCCACCCACCCACCTGCCCCAAAGTAGTGCTGGTCATCCTCCAGCAGCAGCGGCGCCTCGGCGGCGGCGCACGCCAGGTGCGCCTCTGCACGCAGGGGTGTGTGCAGCACGCCGCACGACTCAGCAGCGGCTGCTGAACACCCCCACCCCACCATCGCCACCAGAAGGGGCGCCACATGAACCTCAGCAAACGCGGCGCCGGCAGCTGGCGGTGGCGGCAGCAGCTGAGCGGTCCTGCGCCCTACCCAGGACCGACGGGTTGCGAGCGTCCACCAGCGCCCGCTCCACCGGCCGCCCAAACAGCTGGGCCGGGTGGCGCATGAAGTACTGCAGCCGGTACAGCAGGAACCAGCCACACCATGAGCTTAAGGCGTGAGCAGAAGCAAGCAAACGAGGAGGTAGCCCAGCTAGGCTAGCAGCCGCCGCCTGCCGGCGACAGGAGCTCGGCCCGTGAATGCGCCCCCAGCCACCCTCCCGGGCCTCGTCCTGCGCCCACCCGCACCCGCACCCGCACCCCCACCCCCACCTCCACCCACCTGGTCCAGCGGCCCATCCCAGCCCAAGTAGATGCCCAGGCAGGCCTGCTCCCGCCGCCCCGCGCGCCCCGCCTGCTGCCACAGGGAGGCGACGCTGCCGGGGAAGCCCAGGTGCAGGGTGCAATCCAGGGACCCCACATCCACGCCCAGCTCCAGTGCGTTGGTGGCAGCCACCGCGCGCAGGCTGCCCCGGAACAGCGCCCGCTCGATCTCGCGCCGCTCCGCGGGGCTGCGGAGGGGATGTTTAGGTTTAAGAATGGAGCGCAGCGCAGCGGCGGCAGTGGCACAGGCGGCGCTGAGCACCGCCACGGCAGGCGGGCAGCCACACCCATCCCGGCGGGCTGCTGTGGCCCGCCCTGCAGGGCCAGCGACCTGCGACTGGCGACGCATGCCCGCAGGCGCACCTGTACCCTGCGCGGTACACGGCGATGCTGTCTGCCAGGTGCGGGGCGGTACACTTGAGCGTCTCCCGCACATACGCCGTCACCAGCTCGCACAGCTTCCTGCAGGGCCCGAAGAAGTTGAGCTGTCAGTGCAAGGTGTCCAGGATGGCCTGCCTGCTTCCAGGCCGCTCTGTGCGCGCCATGCGGTGGATCTCCAGCCTCCTAGTGTGTCACTATGGGCCCCACCTGGACTTGCAAAACGCGATAGTCCTCAGCCCGTGCTGCACGCACTCCGCAAGCAGCAGCGACAGCTCCACAATCGGGCTGCTGCGCCGCTCCTCCTCCTCCTCCTCCTCCCCAGCAGCGGCAGGAGCGGCAGCTGGAGCAGCACTGGCGCCGCCTGCGCTCTCCGCCCTGCCAGGAGCCCTGCTGGCAGCGGCAGCAGCCTGAGCCGCCAGCGCAGCTGCCTTCCAGTCTTTGCTGTCGGGCAGCCGTGCACGGTACTCGTCGTCGCCGCTGCTGGCAGGCATGCCGCTGGCGGCGTCCCGGCCCCGTGCCCTGCCGCCAGCGTTCCCCGTGCCCCTGCCCCTGCCTGCTGCAGATGCCGCAGCTAGCTGCTCCACAGCAGCCTTGGCGCTCACCGGCTGCCGCCTGATCAGCGGGCGAGAGGGCCCGGCAGGCGTGGCTGTGTGCTGGCGTGGCCGGGTGTGGCTGCCACCTACTGCCGCCAGCGCAGCCTTTGCCTCGGCCACCTCCCTCCTAAGCTCAGCGCTGAGCGCGGCTGGGGGCGGTGGTGGGGCCCGCTGCTGCCGCTGCTGCTGCTCGCATCCCGCCGCCACCGGCTGCTGCGCCGGGGATGGGGGCTGCAGGCCGGCGTGCTGCTGCCGCTCTGGCAGCCCTCCTTCTGGCTGCCACCCACCAACCGCGGCCTCCAGCAGCTGCCGCCGCTGCTGCAGCTTGGCTGCCGACAGCCGCTGCGCGTCTGAGGGCTCTGGCCCCTCCTGGCCGCCCACCTCCAGCACTCCTGCGAGCAGGACAGCAGCAGTAGGCGAGGCTCTTGTCCCTGCCGGGTGTGAAAGGTCCAAAGGATGGACCTGCAATGAATGCAAGCTCAGCCTGCAGGCAGGCAGCCACCCACCGCTGCCCCGCTGCTGGCTGGCCTCCTGCCGGCGCTGCCGCTGGTCGGCCTGCCACTCCCGCCGGCCGCGTGCGCGAGCCTCAGTCTGCGATGGCCCTCCTGGAGCCCCCACCTGCGGCCGCCGCAAAGAGCAGGCCAGACAGATACGGATGGCAGGCAATGAGCAAGCATGCTGGCAGGCGGGGACAAGGCAGCCATGGCTGGCTGCCCGCCAAACATGGCTTCCAAGCCGGGGCCGAGCCTGCGTGCTTGCCTGGCGCAGCGGCGGGTTCCACATCACAAAGGTGCGGGGGCCGTGGGGGCTGCCATCCTCTGCCACCACTGCAAGCATGGAGGCCGCAGCAGCGGCACCATGGCGAGTGTGGGGACAAGGGTCGGGTGGCGGCTGAAGGCACGGAGCGGTGCCTTCCAGAGGGCGGCGGCGAGCCTCACCGTGCACATCCAGCACCCCCAGCAGCTCCAGGGCGTGCTCCCTGGGGTTGGCCAGCGTGGCGGTGGTCACGGCAAATGTGGGCTGCAGAGCGGGCAGCAGTGGGGGTCCGGGGGGAAGTCGCCAGCGGGGGTGGCGAGTGCGCATCGGCCAGCACCTCCCATCCAGCATGCATCATATCACGGCGACTTGGCTTGCATAGCGCTACCTGCACCACAGGTTGGCAGCGGGGAGCTGCTCCACACTCCACCACCACCACCACCACCACCATCACCCACCCGGCTGTGATATACGCGGTCGCACAGGCGGCGCAGGCGGCGCAGCACCAGCGCGGCGTGGCACCCGAACACGCCCTTGTAGGCGTGCCCCTCATCCACCACCACATACTTGAGATTGCCGAGCAGCCGGCTGCAGCACACGGGGTGGGGGAAGGGGCCACCCTAGGCGTGCCTATGAAGGTGGAGAGGCGGGAGGCAAGCTGGGGCAAAGAGGCAGGCAGCGGGGCCAACAGAATCCGCCCGCCAGAGCCGCTCACCCAAACTGCTGGTGCACCGGCAGCACCGACATGTGAAGCATGTCTGGGTTGGTGATCAGCAGCTGGGCCCTGTCGCGTATTGTGCCGCTGCAGGCAGGGCGCACAAGCAGGCAAGGCTGGATATGCTCAGCAGACCTCCATCAGGCATGAGGCATACATGCCAGCCTGGCCAGCTGGCTGCTCTACAAACCCAACTGAAACCAGCCACCCACGCACTGGCCCACATCAAACCACAATCCAGCGCATCACGCCAGCCCTGGAGCAGCCGTGAACATGCCCCAGCCCTGGCTCACCGCTCCGCCATGGGGGTGTCCCCATCATACACCTCCACGTGCGGTACCGCCTGCTCGCCCCCCGACCCAAAGGCCGCGGCGCACGCCTCCCGCAGCGCCCGCAGCTGGTCCTGCGCCAGCGCCTTGGTGGGGAACATGAGCAGGGCGCACGCGCCGCGGTCCTGCAGGGGCGGGCAGGACCGTGTGCAGTGCAGGCAGGCAGGCGGGCAGGGAAATGGTCGACAGATGAGGTGAGGCATGGGAGGGGATGGAGGGATCAGGTCTGGACGGTATCCAGGAGCATGCGAGCAAGGGAGGCGGAGCCAGGCACCACTCCCACCTGCGCCAGCGCCTGCAGGATGGGGATGGTGTAGCACAGCGACTTGCCGGAGGCTGTGCTGGTGGCAACCACGGTGTGCCGGCCCTGCAGGCGCAGCCAGGGCAGTGTGTGCAGTCAGACAGGGAGGGCTTGGCAGTGTGCAGGGGGCGGGGCGCCTCTCCTCCCTGCATCTGGCGCGAGGGATGGGCGCTCGCCTGCAGCAGGGAGTCCACCGTCGCCGCCTGGTGCGTGAAAATGCGCCCGACGCCGCGGAGCTGCAGGGCGGCCGCCACCGCCGGCGCCAGCGGCGTCGCCGGGGTCGCGTGCTGCGCCTGCCGCGCCGCCATCTGCTCCTCGTGCACCGCCTGGCCCTGGTACCAGGGCAGCGCCTTCAAGTGCTCCAGAAACCGGGCTGGGCCCAACTGCAGCGAGAGGAGGGGCAGGAGGCGGCACCGGCGGACACGTCTAGCTCCAGCGGTGACGCGCCCCTGCAGCAGCTTGTGTGCACACCGCGATGGCATTGTTTCTGCTCATGCAAATTCACATTAGGCTGACCTGGGTGGCGTCGGTGCAGGGAACGTGCTGCTTCAGGAGCTGAGGAGGCTTCGCTACTGCCCCTCGAACGCATGCTGCACTGGCAGCTTCCCCGGCGGCTCCCCCCACAGCTCCTGCTGCCGGCGGCCTGTGGCTGCTGCGCCGCGCAGCTGCCAGGGCATCCACCCCGCTCGCCTCCTGCTCCGCAGCCGCGGCAGCCGCCCGTGCCGGGGCAGACAGCTGCTCGCCGGCTGCCGCCAGCTGCTCGGCTGTCACAGCAGCGGGGTCAAAGGAAGGGTGCCAGTGCGGGCCGGCCGGCCGCTGCTCCCTGGCACTGGCAGCCTTGGCAGCACGTGCGCCGCGCCGAGGCTGCCGTCGCATCAATCCGCTGGACTGCTGCGGCTGCTGCAGCTGCGGCTGCTGCGGCTGCTGCTGTCCCTCATTCCAGGAAGGCCCCACCTGCTGCTGCTGCACCAGCAGCAGCGTCCGCACCACGGCCCTGCGGAAGCACCACCGCTGCCGCACCAGCTGGTTGATGCGGAACGCAGGGCGCCTGGCTGTGCCGGGCTGCTGCCCCGCCGACGCGTCGGCACCGCTGCCAGCACCCCGCGCGCCAGCTGCAGCCATGCTTTCCTCATCGCTGCCGCCGCTGAGCTCTGCCATCTCCTCAACCCCCTCCTCACCAACCGCAGCTGCCTGTGCGTCAGGTGGGCTGTTGCCTGTGCCGCTGCCACCCGCACGCGAGCCGGCTGCCTGGCGGCGCAGCTGCTGCAGGAAGGGCGCAGGGATGGGACGGGTGAGGAGCCCCCTGCAGGCATGAACGCGCGACAGAGGATGATTGGCTAGCTTGATTTTGAGGCCCTGAGATCAGTAGCAGGGTATAGGGCCATGAGAAGAACAGGGGAGGTCAGCTGGCCGGTCAGGGCAGAGGCACACCTTCCGGGGTCTGCCATGTCAACCACGAGAGTGTCGTCAGATGCAGCAGCAGCAGCAGGAGCAGCAGCGCCGCTGCCAGATGCCGCCGCGCATGCTGCTGCCGCCGCCGCGCCCCCCGCAAGCACCGTGCCGGCGCCGTCTGTGCGCAGGTGCATGGGGTTGGGCAGCGGCTGCTGCTCGCCGTCTGCTGCCGCCTCTGCAGCCGCAGCAGCCGCCACCGCAGCTCGTGCCTTTTGCGGGGACGACACCGCCATGCGCCAGGTGTCGCGGTAGGAGCGGGGCACCACCCTGCGGGGTTGCAGGGATACGCAGGCACAGCCGCGGGATAAGAACAGGTGGTGCCCTGCCCACGGGTCTCACAGAATGCGATGTCACTGAACAGCTTACTCGCATGCCTGGCTGCGCTGGCGCGGGGCAGCAGTGGCCCTGCCAGTGAGCAGTGGCCCCAACCGCCCCCACCTGACGTGCTGCTGCATGGCAACCAGCTCGGGGCACACCGTCGCCACGAGGCGGCAGTCGGCCAGGGTGAGCGGCTGGCGCAGGTGCATGCCGGCCGCCGACTGCCGCAGGTGGCCCCAGGTGGCCTGCGGTCGGGCCGGATAGTGCCAGCGTGATTGAGAATGCAAAAAACAGGCGGGAGCTTGGCAGGCAGGCAGGTGTGGAGGTGCGCAAGGGGCAAGGCACGCAGCCGCAGCCGCCTCCCCACACCCTAAAAAATAACGACGTGCAGCGCACCTGGATGTGTTGCTGGGTGAGGAAGGCATGCACCTGAGCCAGCACCACAAATGCCGCCTCGAGGTGCTGCGCCAGAGGGGGCAGCGGCAGCGCCGCCGCCGCTGCATCCAGCTCGGCATCTGACACCGCCAGCAGCCCGCTCCCTGCTGCTAAGGCCGGGGACGCAGCAGAGCTGCCGCGGCCTGCTGCTGCTGCTGCTGGAGGCTCAGCCGCGGACGCCGGCTGCTTGCGCTTGCTGCCTGCGCCACGCATGGCGGTGCGAAGCCTAGGGGCTGTGTGGGCTACGGCAGCAGCAGCCGAGGCAGTTGGTGCGGGCCCAACACCGCTGTCACTGCTGGCTGCTTGCCGTTCCTGCCCCGGCACCGCAAGCAGTGCCGCCCCCGGCAGGTTGGCTCTTTGGTTTGTGGAGGGGTGCTGCGTGCCGGCTGCCGGCGCCGCCACTGCTCCCGGATCGCACACCGCCAACGGCGCCGTTCCATGCTGCAGCTGCTGGGTTGCAGGCGGTTCGGGTACCTGGATGCTGCCGGCTGCATTGCCACCGTACCGCTCTGCTGCCAGGCTGAGCAGGGACCGAGCCCGCTTGGCTGCTGGCTGCGCACCCTGCTGCACTGGTGCGCCAGCAGCGCTGGCTGCCTCCGCCCCTGCCGTTTGAGGCGCCATGCGTGCCTCACTGATGCTGGATGGTGCTGGAAGCAGCCTGCCTTTGACTGGGGAGGGGTTGGGGCGAGAGAGGTACCCCGGCAGCAGGGAGTCAAGCTTGCCAGGGGAGGCCAGCAGCGGCGGCGGCGGCTGGCCAGCACCTGGAATGCCAGCGCCCGGCTGGCGCCTGCGCCCGCCATCGCCCTGGGACGTCCACTGCTGCCGCGGGCTGCTGGGGGGCGTGACGCATTCCGCCTCTCCCGCTGGCTGGGCTGCCGCCGCCTTTTTCTTCTTCTTTTTGCGCGTCTCAAACGCTACCTGCAGTTGATGAGTACACAATTGGTGCTTGCAGCCACTGCAGCGGCAGCTCAGGGCACCGTCAGGCAAGCGGCGCACCAGAAACTCGCCAGGTCGCAGCCCCAGGTCATCAATCGAGCGAGCATCGTCATCTAGAAAGGATCCCTGCACACGGCATGCTGGCCCGTCGTCGCAGCAGCAGTGGGCGGGAGCAGGGCGGCGGTCCAGCACGGTGCACCCCTCGGCTCACCCGCAAATTCAGCTTGCAACGGCCAAGGCCCCCCCGCTGTGTCTCCAGCTGTTGGCGCAGGTCGGCGAGCGTGTCGCCGGCGGAACACACAGCGATGAGTTGCTCCCCACTCAGCAGCCTCACTGGGCATCGCAGCATTGTGTATGGCGGTGCACCATCGGAATGAATAAACGCAAGGGACATTTCCGAGCGTGAGAATCGCCATGCTGTGCCCGCTGAGGCGGCATGCCGCGGCACAGCAGCCAGTGGGTTTCCAATGATGTTTTTCGGCTCTGCCTTTAGGCAATGGTGGGGTATCAACCGTGTTTTACAGCAAGCAGCCAGGCCAGGTGGGCTGGGGCCAGGTGGGCTGGCACCAGGTTTTGATGCCCCAATACCGCACAGCGCGACTCCCCTCCTCTACCGCCGCTGCATGTTTGCTGTTATCTGCGCCGCCAGCTGCGCTGCCTTGGCCTGCGCCGCCGCCACCGCCGCGGCCGCGCTGAGCCCCGCCTGCGCATGCTGCTGCTGCGCCGCCGCCGCCACCGCCGCCGCCTTGGCCTGCGCGGCCGCCGCCGCCACCGCCAAAGAGGGAGGGGGGTACGCCGGCGCGGGCTGCAGCACTCCAGGCTGGTTGAGGCCGGGCTTGAGCGTGGTGCCCACTAGGCTCGGCTGGGAGGCTGCACAGCACGCACACACAGCAGCACAGCTATGAGGCAGCTGTCGACCTCTGGCCAGCCAGCGGCCCAGCTGGCGCGCCAGCCTGCCAGAGCCGCCCAGCTGTCTGGGCTCCCACCTCCACAACCACACGCCCTCTCCCACCTCCGCACATATGTGGCCCACACACTCGCAGCCACGTCCCCCCACCACCACGGCCACCAGGCCTGGACTCACCCACGCTGCACCCACCCGACTTGAGGAACTCGACGCGCCCCTGCCCCGCGGCGCGCGCCGCCTTGCGCCGCTCCTCCTCCGCCGTCCACTCCTTCTGCAGCGCATCCAGGTAGTCCTCGGGGGGCAGTGCTGACGGGTCGAACACCTGCGGCGCGGAGGGCAGGGAGGGCGGGAGGGGTGGGGGGGCGGGCAGGGGGTGGGAGGACGGGATGGGCTGCGGCAACGTCGGAGGCAAGGGACTCCCATGCGCAGCAGACCCGCGCCTGCCAGCAATGAGCAGGGGCCCCACAAGCGTTGCCCTCATACAGCCAGGAGCAGGGCCGTCACATGCGCAGCCCTGTGCAGCCGGAGGCAGGCCGCTCTGGCAGGCGGCAGGCCAGGCGGCGGGCCAGGCGCACCTCTGGCGCGAAGCTGGTGCCGTACTGCTGGATCTCCAGGTGCTCCACCATCTTGGCAAAGAACTCGGGGTTGCGGTACCCCCTGCAGGAGGTATCCCGTGAGGAACCACTGTAGTGCTGCACACACCTCAGGCGCCGCGCATCCCAGGCCGGACAGGCGGGCAGCACGCAGGACGTAGCGCTGAGCATGCAGGCACAGTCAGCAGGTAAAGCCCGGCAGGCAGGCAGGCTCGCCGCCCATCCCCGCCCACCTGCTCTTGCGGATCTCGTCGTTGATGTACTTGCCGCGGGTGCGCTGCACGTGCAGCCAGCTGGCCACCTTTGCCTGCAGCGGAGCACGGGAGCAGTGCATGGCAGCGGCCTGGCGAGTCGGGGCAGGGAAGAGCGGCGCGCTTGCTGCGCTGTAGGAGTTGCTATGGTCTCAGCTGCAACGGTGGTGCATAACGCGTGGCTTGCCTGTACTGCGGGGTCGCACTCGCCCTCTGGCGGCTCCCGCATCTCAGGCGGCAGCAGGCTGAGCGGGTCGTCGGCCGTGGCAGGAGGCTGCTCGCCGCCGCCGCCCGCCGCCTGCAGCTCGCCGTCTGCATCCATGGGTGCTGGCCCTTCTGCTGGCCCCGCGCCGCCCTCATCACGCTGCTCCGAGGCGGCCGACTGCGGGCGAAGCAGCTCGCCTGCGCCGGCCTTGGCTGCCGCGGTGTCTGCCTCCACCGGCCGGGCGGCGGGCGCGCTGGTCAGGTGCGACAGGTCTAGGCCGGCCCCCGAATTCTCGCGCAGCAGCGTAACCTGGCCCGTCTGCTGTGTTTCTGCGGGCAGGCGAGCAGAGGGAGAGGGGCCGGAGCGTCAGAAAAATGGAGCCAGCGATGGGAGAGTCTGGCGCAGCATTGCTTGGAGGCAAGCACTGTCAGAAGGCCACGACCAAGTGCTCACCCGCCGCCTGCTGCTCCTCCTCCTGCTCCTCATCTTCATCCTCTGAACCATATGCGCCAAGCAGGTTGCCCAGACCGCTCATTTTTTAGATGCCTTAGCGCCGATGAACGAGGGAAAAGGATGGGCACACAGCGCAGGCTGAAGGAAATGCATGGGGCGCCGGGCTTTCTTTGAGCGGCCGGCGGCAGCAAGCTACAGCCGGTGGCAGCAAAATGTCAGGGCCAACGCAAGCGTTAAGTCCACACACGTTATGGTACAGCATCCGTAATCTGTACATTGAGCTCAGGCACTTAGGGAGCTTGACAGACGGCGCAGTAAAGTGGAGGCGGCGGCAGCCAGCTGACCCGCCGTAGCTTGCCCGCCGACATGCTTTGGATTGCCGCATGCAGCATGTGGATCTTCTGTGGGTGCGGCTCCCACATCATCACCAGGCATGTCCATCACTGGTTGCCAGCCGGATGGTTGTCCCCCCGCCCCCTCGGTGCCGACCCCGCCCGCCTGGCGACGACGGGCGCTGCCTCGCCTCAATCTGCAGTAAAGCCTGGGCCTGCGACATTGGGATCCAGCACTGCCGACACTTTCAGCACACGGCGTGTGCAGTCCGTGGTCCGCCAAAATGCTCGGAAGTGCGAGTTGCAGCGGTGTCGCGGCTTGCAGCACTGCAAGCTCCAGTCCGCAGATGCGGTCAAGAAATAAGCTCCGTGCCTTCACCACCCAGCAGGCGGCGGCAGCGCGGCGCCGCCCGCTGGCGGCCCGCTCTGCTGCAACAGCGCAACAGACTGTCGCAGCTGCCGTATTCCACTACATGCAGCTCGAGCTGGAAACCAAGCCTGGGATTCACATCGTGGACATCACGCCACAGGCGAGGGGCCTGCAAGCAGCCGTGCGATGCCTTCTTCCCGCCTCGCACATCACCGCCTGCCTGCATGCCACCGCCCATGCCCCTTGTGCAGATCCGAGCCGAGGTGGAGCGCCTGGGCGTGGCTGAGGGCTTTGTGAATATCCTGTCCCGCCACACCACCACCGCCATCGCCATCAACGAGTGCGAGGCCCGGCTGCTGGACGACATACGGCAGGTGCCCACGAGCTTCATGAGCTGTCTGCAGCTGCCCGTGTCCTGCCGCGCCCCTGTGCCACCGCCACCGCCCCGCCGCCCCGCCTCTGCTGCGCAGTTCCTGCGGAAGCTGGCCCCGCCAAACGAGCCGTACCTCCACAACGATCTGCAGTACCGGGAGGCGCCGCCAGACTGGCCGGGCGGCTGGGAGGCGTGGTGAGCGGCCCTGCTCGGCGAACAGGCTTGCAGGGGGCCGTGCAGACCGCCTGGCAGCAGCGCATCCTTGGCTCCATGCCGCCTTGAACTGGCCTAGTTCCCTCTCTGTCGGTGGCGTGCTGCAGGGCGGCACAGGAGCCTGAGAATGCGCACTCCCACCTGCTGTCAATGGTGCTAGGTGGGCTGGGCTGGGCTGGGCTGGCCAACGTTGAGGCTGAAGAGAGCGGGCTGTCTTGTTGAAAACCAGAGGCACTCAGCCGACACTCCATCGACTGCCTCCCGCATGCTGCAGGCAACTCAGAGACTGTGCCCATCACCGGCGGGCGGCTGGCGCTCGGCACCTGGCAGGTGAGGAAGGCAGGACTGTCCCTGGGGGCACTAGCAGTGTTTCCAGCTGCCATCACATGCTGGTTGGCCCATGCTGCGGCTGCCTGGCGATTCAGGCTGCCACCGCTGTCGGTTTCCCCTTGCAGTCTGTGATGCTAGTGGAGCTAGATGGTGCCCGCACGCGCACAGTGGGTGTGCAGGTGGTGGGGACGCAGGAGGGCAACAGCTGAGTGCCGAGACCTCTTTTTTTGTGGGGGGCTTGCATTGCAATACGCTTATTGTAAGGGAAAGGACACACGGTAAATGAGAGAGAAAAAATTTACAGATCTCGTTCGTTTTTAACTGTGGCAGCGCGCCAGCCACAGCTGCTCCGGTGCCACACCTTGCCAGTGGATGAGCTGCAGCTGCATGGGGCAGCTGCATGGTCACGCCTCCTCGTCGACGGCGGTGTAGAAGTGGCTGCACTTGCCACAAGCCTTGATGCAGTGGCCGGGGCGCTGCTTGGTGCCCACCATAAACACCGGGTTTTTCTCGCACTCGCCTGCGGCAGGCGTCGCATGCAGAATCATGGGTCATGCCAGCGCGAGATAGAGTCGCAAGATGCTCAGCAAAGCGCCGGGCACAGCAGCCAGGGCGCTGATGCTCACCATTGCCGGCCCAGGAGTCGCAGGCGGCATCCTTGTTCTTGCATTCGGGGTACGTCGAATCACCCTGCAGGGTGATGGGGACCATGTGCAGAGGGGGCGGGGCAGGCGAGGTAAAGCGGGGATCGGAACATTGGCTGCCAGCGCACACCAGCATTGCAGCACAGCACCAGCTGCTGGCGCCAGATGGTGCATTCGAGGCGGCCGGCCCCACCTGTGGGATTTGCTGGATGTGCTGTGGCTTCTCGCCGCCCACGGCGTAGTGGCCGACGTGGACCCACTGTGGAGATGGAGATGGGGCCAGAGAAGCGACGAGGTGTGTCAACCGTCGCCCATGGCAGCAGACACCATGGCATGGAGCAACAATGGCATCCGCCATCCGCTTCTCTCCACTCCCTCTGCTCCCTACCTTGGGCGCGGACCACTTGACGCCCTTGATCACGGGGCAGGCGGTGTGCAGCGAGCGGCGCTCCAGCTCGCCCGTGGGCTTGATGGAGTGGAAGAGCACGGCGTTGCCCTTCTTGGGCTTGGCAGCCAGCACCTGCACAGGTAGCCGGCAAAGCACCGCCGCCAGCCATCAGCGCGGCCGCGCAATGCGAGGGGATAGTGGATGCATGGCCCCGTGACACCAGTGCATGCCATCCTGAGTGCATAAGGAAGGAGTGGGTGGGGGAGGTGCCTGCTCACCTTCCTGGCGCACTCTGAGAACTCTGGGCCGTTGTCGCCGTTGGGCGAGGGGATGTTGGGGAAGCCTGCACCAGCACAGCGTGGCAGGTTCGGATGTGTCTGTGGCAATGTGGGACGATGCGCCGCCTGGCAGCGGCAGGCAGACAGGCGCTGGTCCTCGCGCGGGCGCATGCGCAGAGTGGAGCCAGCCAGCGCTCACAAGTCTCGCCGCCCTCCTCCACGTCATTCAGGTACATGAGCACGGTGAGGTAGCGGTTTCCACCATTTGCGGTGCCTGCCTGCAGTGGGGGAGGGTGGGGGAGCACAAGCCACGGGTGGGCTCACAGCCACGTATGCATACCGTCCTTGCACACCGCCGCCAACACCCGCACATCGGTGGGTGCCACAACAACAATTGTGTGCACTCACCTTATGGAAGAAGTAGTCGTAATCTGCAGTGAAAATCCCCACAGAAGCAGCCAAATGAGCAGCAGGAAGGCTAGGACAAGCCAGGGGCATCTAGGCAGCCTGGCGGCGCCACAACCTCCCAGTGGCAGCCACACATGCACGCGGCAGCCACACATGCACGCAGCAGACTCACGTCCTTCGTATTCCTGGCCATGCTCATATTTCTGCACATCAGGCAGACAGAGTGGGTGAGTCATGAGAGGTGAGCAGAATGACAAGCCCAGCTGGAGCTGAGCCGGTGTACACATGTGCATGCCCGCTCACCTCCCCCAGGCAGCTCCTTGCCATTCGTTTGCTCTCCCGCCCCGGCTGGCTGCCCAACCCACCCCACACTCACCAGCACTTGAAGGCCCTCGCCGTTGCCTGCGGGCATGAGGGTCCACTTGGCGATGCGGGCCTCGATGTCGGCAATCACGGAATCGTGGCCACGGTTCAAGAAGGTGCCCTGTAGGAGGAAGGGCAGATGCGACATCCCAGATGGGTCAAGCTGCTGCTTGTAAACTAGCAACAATGCAGAGCAAGGAGGCAGCGCAGCTGGCGATCATTGTGGTGCGGTGTAAGGAGGGAGCAGCGCCAGCAAGAGGGCGGGCCTGGCAGCGCAGGCATGGCTGCCAGCCTGCCCCCCCCCCACACACACCTTCGAGGTGCGGACGTTGTCGATCTTGCTCTTGCCGGAGTCTGTCTCCACCACGCTGCAGGGAGCATGGAGAGGTGCATGATCAGCAGCGATAGCGGCAGGGGCAGCAGCAGATGAAGCAGCAGCAAGAAGAACCCACAACTACTCTTCTTGTTTGCTTTTCTGGTACCCACCCCGAGCGGGCCATCGTCGGCTCCGCCAACTTGATGATGTGGTCGCACTCCTCGTCAGTCAAAAAGTTATGATACAGGAATATGCGAGCGTCCTCGTGGAGCACCTGCGTGTGAGTAGGTAGCTATGGGAGAGGTCAGGAGTGCGTGCCTCCCCTGGAAAGGGGCACAGGCGAGGCCAGGCATGTCAGCGTGCGCACCTGAACACGTGGCGAGCGGGAGGGGTCGCAAGCGGGCTCGCTGGCGCAGCTCGAGTTGCCAAAGCTGGCGGCAAAGGTGGTGGTGCTGCCGTCGGGGTCTGCAGCGGGCAGGATGCTCACTGTGCATCTGGGGTCTAACCCAGCGCCGCCCAGCACTGGGCAGACATCTGCTAAATTTCCCACCGACCAGTGCTACATTAGTGCTGCCCAGCACCCGCGGGCAGTGCTGGGAAGCGCTGGCGCTGGGCAGCGCTGGTCACCGCCGCCGCTCCAGCGCTGGAGCGGCGCTGGAGCGGCGCTGGGGTTGCCCGCAAGCGCCTTGTCCGCGCTGCATGTGCAGCATTTGCGCTGGGCAGCACTGGTCGGTGGGAAATTTAGCAGAGCTCTGCCCAGTGCTGGGCGGCGCTGGGTTAGACCCCAGATGTGGTCAATTTGCTGAGGGTATGACGGCGGCGCCATGCATGGCGGCGGGGGCGGGAGTGGCAGGTGGGCAGCTAGCCGCGCCCTGGCTGCGCTGCCGTGGCTTTTGATGGTCACAAGGCGGCGTTCCCTGGCCAGGGGAGGCCGCAGGAAGCGCGCCGCTTCCGGTTGGATACACGCAGCTCTTTTCACGGGGCCCCCAAACCGCTGCACTGCAGGCCGCAGGGTCACTCACAGGCCATTGCCTCCGCCCTCGCAATCCCTGCGGACACGGTCTCCGCCCGTGCAAGCGCCGCAACGGCGAGCACCACGACAGCGATCGCCTTCATCGTTGCTCGTATTCCACTCCCGGATGCTCAAGTGTGCGTGCAAAGTGCAGCTAATAGGAATCAGTTTGGGTTGGGGTCGAAGGACGCGGCAAGAGCTGCGTGTACCTGCATGCTGGGCCGTGCTGGGGCAGCTCCCGTCCTTGATGGAACAAATCACGCGTCCCGCGTATTCTCTTCTTCTTCTTCTGGAATCCTCTCGGAGCCGAGGTCTGTGGGTTTAAAGGGTCATGCATGTTGAGGAAGCCGTGGGTGTCGCTGCTGCAAGTGATGTGGCAGCCGTGCCTCCTCCAGGCGCCGGCGCCGCAGAACCATGCCGCGGACAGGTGCACAGGTGCAACTGCAGGTTTCGCATCGATCAACCGTTTAATCAACTCATGGGCATTTAAATTACCAACAAACTTAAGATTGAAAACAAGGGAAGGAATGCATTTCAGGCGTCGTCGTCGAACCGCTGCGCCAGCCTGGCGTGACGCTGGGCTCAGCCCAGCGTCCCGAGATGTTGTTCCACTCACAGGTTAGCTCGGTTCCCAAGATGAGGATGATCCACAGGCAGAGGAGCACGGCGCCGATGCGCATGGGGCGGTTGAACTCGCGGCGGAAACGTGCCATGAGGCCGCGGGAGAACCGGGTGGGCGGAGCCAGCAGCGTGAGCAGCACCAGGTAGGCCGCCGCCGCCAGCCCCAGCACGCCAATGTTGACCCAGCGGAACCAGCCAAAGGCGGGCACCTTGGCAAAGAAGAAGGCTTGCGTAGAGCCGCACTCCGGCAGCTCCAGCCGCTGGTAGCCCGAGGCCCAGAACCACAGCAGCACGCCAAAGCTCCACAGGATGGATGTGGAGATGAGCAGCACCAGCAGCTTGAGGCAGCGGACGGCGGGCATGAGCAGCACGGCGGGCATGATCAGCAGCTGCATCCACCTGCGGCGTGGGGAGGCAGGGATGGCGGGTCCGAACCACAGCAGCACGTCAAAGCTACAACAGGATGGACAGGCAGATGAGCAGCACCAGAAGCTTGAGGCAGCGACATCCATCATCGCCCGGCGCTGCGGAACGGCGCAGCGCCTCGTGCTCTCTCAGCCAATATACGCCGTGGCCAGAAACATGGCGTTGGATATGGTCCGCTGCAGCACGAATTTCAGGGCAAAGGCCATGATGGGCACCGCCGTGAAGGCCTGCAGCCATGCGCCGCCTGGGGCGTCGTTGGTGTCCAGCTTCAGGTTGAGGATGGCGGAGAGGACTTGGAGGTAGGTCCCGATCCGCACGCCCAGGCCCAGCAGGTCTGCATCTGCCCCCTGGTAGCACGCCGCCGCGAGCTCCGAGGCGTCCATAGCGTGGGCACGCTGGAGCCACCTGCAAGGCAATGAGGGAAGCCACGACGGCAACCATGAAAGCCTTGGGCGGGGTGCAGCTGCCACCCGACCGCCACCCGCCTTGCGTGGCGGCAGTGGGAAACGCGTCAGGTGCATGCCGGAGGAGCTTGCGGCGACATTTGCAGCCATGCTAGGTAGCCAACAGCTAACAGAAGCACGCCCTGCAAGCAGCACCTACCTGGTGTGCGGAGTGATCGAAAGGGAAAATGTCTGCTCGGGGATGTCGCCTGCGAGGCCCTCTCAGCCAATAATGCGTTACTGCAGTGTGCTGCGGGCTGGGGGCAGCGCAGCGTTCTCAGCGTTCCTCCCTGCACTACAGTTCCTCCGTACCAGGAGGCTTTTCAAGGCGAGTTCGCCTTCTCGCACCTCACACCTCTCGCGTGCCTCTCAGCATGGGCCCCAGGAGGCCTCGTCTGCTGTTTCCTGAGGATGAGCCCGTCATTGCAGCGCCATCCCAGCCTGCAGGAGCGCGGGCAGAGGGTGAGACGGTTAACTGCAAGTGCGCAGGCCGCGCAGTGCAGCTCCCTGCCGGGCCTGCCCCCGCCGCCTCTGCCGACGCGCCGGGCGCCAGGCTGCTTCAGTCGACCTCCCCGTGCAACCTTTCTCTGCCCCTCTCTTGCCCGCTGCAGAGATTCGCGCCGCTGCTGCAGCTGCGGCCAAGACGTTGCAAGCAGGCGTGTCCACGATGCTGGCCGACCGCCCCACCGCCCCGCCTGCCGCCGCCACCTCTGCCGCTGCAAATGGTTTCAAGCCGCCGCCACCCAAGCCCCGAGGCCGCAGCGCATCGCCTGCGGCAGCAGCAGCGGCAGCCCCGCGGCAGGGGGCACCAGCGGCGGCAGCAGTGAGCCCTACAGGCTCTGGGGACGACAATGCGCTGGCCAGCTTGCTGGGGTACGACGAGGACGCGGGCGACTCGCCACGCTCATCCGGAGGGCAGCCCGCGGCAGCAGCCAGCCCGCAGCGGGGCATCGCCGTCCAGGCGCTGGCTGGGGAGCCAGGGCCCGCTGCAGCTGGCGCCGCCCCAGCCGCTGCCAAGCCTGCAGGCGACAGTATGGACGCACAGCTCCACAGCTTCCTGTCCGAGCTGGAGAGCAGCGGCCTGCTGCAGGAGGATGGCGGCGGCGGCGAGCGGGAGCCGCCGCAGGGCGCCGCAGCAGCCACGCCAGCAGCCGGCGCGTCCCAAGGCGGGCCCGCCACAGACGGCGACAGCGCGGGCGGAGCCGGCGCTGCCGAGCAACAGGTGCTGGGCCCGGTGGAGGGCGCCGGCAGCAACTGGTACCTCGTGCTGGACACTGGCAGCGGCAGGCGGTACTGCTGGAACCAAGCAACCAACGAGGTGGCATGGACGCCGCCCGCCGGCGCGACGCTGCTCGCCGGCGCCGCAGCAGCGTCCGACGGGGCCTCGGCGGGGGCGGCGCCTGCCACGGCTGGCACAGGCGCTCAGCAGCAGCGTGGAGCAGCAGCAGCCGCACCGTCTGCCGCCCTAGAGGCGCCGGCTGCAGCCCCCGACCTAGGCGCTGCCTTCCTGGTAGCCCCGACCGCGGCGGCGCTGGAGGCAGCTGAGCGCATAGCTGAGGAATGTACCGAGGCGGCAGGCCCGCTCCTGGATGATGTGCCCAAGGTGCGGCAGCAGTACCACGCCCTGCCTGGCGCATGCAGTAGCGCCCCACCCTGCCCTGGCTGCCTGGCCGGCTCATCGCTGATTGCCTGCCTCGCTGGGGCGGCTTTGTGGCCGCTTCCTTGCCTCACTTCCCTGCCCGTCCTGCTGCTCCACTGCCTGGCGCGCCCCGCAGGTGGCGCGGTTGGCCGTGGAGGCGCAGGCGCTCTCTGCGCTGCTGCTGCTGCTGGCCCAGGCGCAGCAGGCGGCGGCAGAGGCTGGTGACGCGGCTGCCGCCTTCAAGTGGACAGACTTTGAGGGCACGATGCGCATGGCGCTGTCGGCGCTGCAGGCGCAGCTGCACGCGCTGCAGGGCAGCACGGCCGCTGCCGCCACCACGCCGCCATCAGGCGAGGCCGCAGAGGCAGCGCAGGCAGCTCCAGCTCGAGCAGGCAGTCGGCCCGCCAGCGCCGGCGGCAGCAGCAGCGGGGAAGAGGGGGAGCTGCCGCCGCCAGGGGAGCAGCAGCAGCCTAGGGCAGAACAGCCGCCACTACCAGCGGCTGAGAGCAGTCCTGCTGCTGCTGCTGCGCCGCTGCCAGAACAAGCGCCAGTGTCGCTGGCCCCTGCACCAAGCCCGCCGGCAGCAGCTCCTCCCCTACCAGCAGCCTACCCGGCAGCAGAGCCTGGAGGAGGGCCTCTGGTCTACCTTGCGCCGCTGCCGCCTGCTGGCATGCCGCCGCTGCCAGCCGAGGCGCCCGCTGCGGCGCCACTGCCGCCAGCAGAGGTACGGAAGAAGCGCAAGGCGGCAGGGGCGGGCGAGGCGGCGGCGGCCCCTAGCGGCGGCAAGAAGGCGCGCGGCGGCGGCCCGCAATATGCTGCCGGCTCCAGCAAGCTTGGCAAGGGCGCTGCCAGCCTCATCAACAAGTGGGCTGCTGTGGCAAAGGAGGTGAGCTGGGGTGCCCGGCAACTGGGCCGCCGGCATAGGGTGTGTGGCCTCTGGGCCGGCACATCCCTGCATCTATGGCAGCCTTCGCTGCTGGCCAGGGCGCCCTGAGGCGCCGCTGGTGTGCTGCCTGCTGCAGGCTGCGCAGCAGGAGCAGGAGGAGGAGGCTGCGGCTGCTGCGCTGGACGACCCCGAGGCGAGAGCCGCGGCGGCAGAGGCGCAGCGGCGGCGGGAGGCCGAGGAGTGGCGCCTGCAGCAGCTGCGCAGCGGCGCCGCCGACGCCAACGCCAACTTTGCTCCCATGCCGGGCGACTGGCGGCAGCGGGTGCAGCAGCAGCCGCAGCAGCAGCAGTGGCGGCCGCACAACGAGGCGGCGGGCGCGGCGGCGGCGGTGGCGACAGCGGTGTTGCCGCCCGAGGCGCAGGCGGATGCATCGGCTGGCGCCGTGGGCGAGTTCGAGATGCCGGACTTGGACGCCCTGTCAGCGGGGCTGCCGCCAGGCTGGCAAGCTATGTGGGACAAGGGCCACAAGCGCGTCTACTATGGCCACCTCGCTTCAGCGGTGAGCTCATTTTCTTTCCCTTGCCTACCTGGGCCAAAGCCCTGGTTGCCGCACCACCGCCCCTCGACCCCTCTGGAGCATGCAGCTGGCTTGTGCGGCTGCTGGGGTGGCCGTACCTGCCACAGGGAGGTACCGCCAGCGGTTGCTGCCACTGCCACGAGCCCGCCTGTGCGCTGCTCCTGTGCCTAACCGTTCTGTGCCTGCCAGGTCTGGCTGGCCCCAAGTGTGTGGGGGATGCGCGCCCCGCGCAAGGCGCCCGGTGGGGGTGGTAAGGGCCGCTTGCTGCGGTCGGTTGTGGGGCCTGGCGTGGCCTCGAACACAGCCCTGCATGCCCCGGCAGCTGTAACACTGCGCATGTCTAATCATGGGGTGTCGAGTCTGGCATGGCTGCTGGTAGCAGCCAGCGCCAGGTGAGTTGCAGGCTGGCTTGGCAGGCGGGCGGCCCCCCGCTGCGCCCGCCTCCCATCTGCTGTGCCCGCTGGGCATGCTGGCCGTGGCCCGCCAGTGACGCTGTGCGGCTGGTGCACACCCCTCTGGCCTGCAGGTGACTCAGTGGGAGCGCCCGCAGTAGGAGCACTCGGCACCAGAGGCAGAGGCACGACTGCCCGCGCGTTGCTGCCGCTTGTGCCCCAGCCCGACTGCGTGCATGCCGTTGCTGTGACCGCTGCCCCTTGTAATCCCATGTTGCAATGCATCACACAGGGAATTGGATCATGTAAGGAGTGAATGGCCATACAGGAGGCGCAGCGTGCATGTCGCAGCGGCGCATGCGTGCATGCATCATGCCCCCTGGTCCAGGCTGGCCAGCAGCAGGCTCTGGTGGTGCAGCTGCAGCGCCTCTATGAACACGCCCAGCCGCTCCCCGCCCAGCACACCCTCCATGCCGTGCTCCGTCACGCCCACCCGATGGTCCGTCACACGCCCCTGCACCCACACAGCACGCACAGCAGCAAGCAACTTGTTGCCAGCCAGCAGGGCCGCGCCAGGTCAGCACAGCAGCCGCCAGGTCCACCCAGCGCACGCAGCAGGCCGCGTGGGAGAGAAGGCCCACAGCAGCATGGCAGCAGACGAGAGCATGCCCTCCGTCATTCCATTCTGGAGCAGGCGACCAGCGTGCAGCGCCGGGGCGTGCCCCAGCTGCTGCTGCCCGCGCCTGCGGGAAGTTGTAGGTGCGGATGCGCTCGGAGCGGTCGCCGCTGCCGATCAGCTGCATGCGCTCGCGCGACTGCGACAGGCGCTGGCGCTGGCGCTCCGCCTCGTACAGGCGGGCGCGCAGCACCTTGAGCGCCTTGGCCTTGTTCTTGTGCTGGGACCGCTCGTCCTGCATGAGAGAAGCGGGCACAGGGTGCCGGGTTGGAGGGTGCTGCCTTGCCTTGGCTGCGGTGTTCCACTGGGGAACACTGGTACACATGAATGAAGCCATGGGCCAATAGCAGGCCTAACGCAGGGGTGGCCGCTGGCACCCATACAAGGCCTCAGCTCAAGCCAGCTCGGGTTGGCACCTGGATGGCCACCACCAGGCCGGTGGGCAGGTGCGTCACCCTCACGGCGCTGTTGGTGGTGTTGACGTGCTGGCCGCCGGCGCCGCCAGACCTGAGGTGGCGGCGGGAGCGTGCAGGCGGGTGAGCAAGCAAGCAACACGCATTCCCCCAACCATCCGTGACCGCCCCACAGACCTACACAGTGGGGAGTGCCTTGATCCTTCCGGCCCAACCCTCACCTGCCTACACACAAACAACCGCACCACACACACACACACAGTTGTACAGCCACCCAGGCAAGCACAGCTCCACCCCCACCGCCCCCACTTGTATGTGTCGATGCGCAGGTCTTCGTCCCTTATCTCCACATCCAGCTCATCCGCCTGAGGCAGCACCGCCACCGACGCCGCGCTGGTGTGCACACGCCCGGCTGCAGGCATGGCAGCAGGGAGGGAGGACGGGGGCAGGTGAGCAGGCAGAGCGCCTGCCAGGCAGCCCTGCCCCTCTGCGAGTGCGGCTGTGCGGCCATGACGCCCCTCCACTGCCCAGCTCACCAAACGCGGCTGCCCGCTCTAAACGCCGTGCCATCCCAGCCCTCACCCGACTCTGTGGCGGGCACCCGCTGCACGCGGTGGATGCCGCTCTCGAACTTTAGCCGCCCGTACACGCCGCCCGCGCCGCTGATGGCGGCGCTGGCCAGCTTGCAGCCGCCCACATCATTCTCGGTCAGCTCCACCACCTGCTTGGGGGGGTGGACGAGGGGGTGGGAGGCATGGTGGGAGGTGGAGGATGCAGGGAGGATTCGCGGCATGCGGGGAGCCACGGTGGGACGTCACCCAGCGGGCACAGCACAGCCGGTGCCGGCCTGCCGCGCCGCCGTCGCCGTCCCGGCCCACCACCCCTGCCAGCCCCTCCGCCAGCCGCCGCCCCTCCCCACCTCAAACTTCCACCTCTGCACCGCCGCGTAGCGCTCATACATGCGGAACAGGTCCCAGGCAAACAGGCAGGCCTCGTCGCCGCCCGTGCCTGCACGCACCTGCATGGCACAGGGGCAGCGCAGGCAGTTGCTGCAGTCGCGGGGACAACGCAGCGGGACCCAGGCCTCAGCCGCCGCAACCAAGCGACGACGGCTGGCGACGTGACGGTGCCACCCACCTCTCCGACACACATGTGTACCAGCAGCAACACCACCCGCACACCCAGCCAGCCACCCACCTCCACCACCACCCCGCGAGCATCATCGGCGTCCTTGGGCAGCAGCAGCAGCAGGAGCTCACGCTCCAGTGCCGGCAGCTGCAGTTTGGGAGCAGCGGGGTAGAATCACAGAGCACTCTACAGGCAGCCAGCCAGCATGCCTTGTCACACCGGGACGGCTCAGGCGGCGAGCTGGGCAGGCTGGCAAGTGCGTGCCGGGAATCAACCAATCGAAGCTGCCAGCCAGTCCAGCATTCGGACAGCGGCAGTGGAGGGGAAGGGGGCATGGCCACACCAAGGCTGCTGGCTGGCCGCCCACCTGCTCCAGCAGCGCTGCACGCTCCTCCTGCGCCATACGCCTCATCTCCTCATCCTCTCCATCATCCTCTGCCAGCGCCGCCAGGCCAGCCAGCTGCAGCGGTCAGCGGCAGGCGCAGCAGGCACACAGGGGCTGGGCTCAGCAGCTGCCTGCGCAATCGGAACCAGATGTTCGGCACCGTGAAGAAAGTGGGGAGCTGCAACGCGCTTCTCCAGGCCGTCGTCCGGGATGTCTGCCCGCCCACCTCCTGCCGCTTGGCCTGCAGCTGCTGCAGCACCTCCGCCACCGGCTCCAGGTCACTGAGCTCCTTGTTGAGCCGTGCCATGTCAGCAGGCGCCATCCTGGCAGGGCACGGCAGCGGGATACCAAGGCGTCGATCGGCGGCAGGCTTGGAGCCAGGTGCGGGGCATAGGCCGTGTGGCAGCAGCACAATGTTCGTGCAAAGAAGTGCCTTGAAGTGCTCAGTCTGTACTCGAGAATGCGGCGGCGGAGGCTGGCGCCAAGGTGGCAGGACGGGCAGGGGTGGCATCGGTGTCGACCAGCACACGGCACGCAGCGCTCACTTCAGCATGGCGTCGCCGCTCAGCTGCTGCAGCACGTCTCCGTGCCGCCGCTGGATGCGCTCCAGCTGCGCCTCGATGGCCGGTGTGATGGCCACGCCGTCTGTGAAGGTGGACAGGGCTCTGCCAAAACCAGGTGCCGCCGCGGCCTGGCTGCGCTGCCAGCTCTGCCGGCCGGGACCGCCGTGGTTTGCTGCACCCAGCGGCTGCCATCCCCTCAGGGAAGGCAGTACCGTCACCGCTGGGTGCAGAAGCCGGCTGGGCGCAGCGGCAGCTGAGCAGAGGCCCACCTGCCCAGGTGGTGCTACAGTGGCCGCCGCCGCCGCCGCCGCTCTGCAGGGAGCGCGCAGACGAGATGAATGCACTTATCCCATGCATCGCTCTTGATTGGCAATAGCATGCCTTTTATTGGCCCCAGCATACCTCAACAGCGCGGAGGTAAGGGAGCGTCTGGCCATTTCTCTTTTAGGCGCTCCCTGCGCTGGGATTAGTGCAGGCTGGTCTCCGAAGAATTCAGGCGTATCAATGACGAGCCCCGTGTCCCCCAACTCATGCGAAGGAGCTGCAAAGTGGCACAGCACAGCACGGGAGGGCGCGCCCTGGAACCCAGGTCCAATGCCATCCTGAACACCCCATTGGCTTCGCACTGTCTGTCTGCGGGTTCCTGACTTACCCCCGCTTAGGCTGAGGCAGCGTGTGCATGTGGCGAGTGCCGGCTACTCTGCTGGCAGTGCTGCTGCTTGGGGCCGGTGAGTGGCATTAGCATACCGAGGCGCAGGCTGACGGGGTGTGGTTGGGGTGGAGACCAGCGAGTAGCTGCCGGCGGTGGGGATGCGCTCTGCACCGCTCACTGCGCCATTTGCCAACCGGTGGTTGTTTCCAGGGGAGTCATTCATGCTGCATGTAGCGCTGCGTGTGTGACATCATGTCGCATGCTCGCTGCTGTTGTATGCACTGCAGGTGGAGCAGCTGCCTTACTCCCGCCTCCCAAGCCCCGCCCGCCAGTCAGCGCTCCTCTGCCACCTAAGCCCCGCCCGCCATTCGCGCCCGCCCCACCGCCCATCCGCCGCCTGCCAGGCGTGCCTGAATGGGTGGACATGACCCCGCAGCGGCCCACGGCGCAGCGGCAGTACGAAGCTAGCAAGTGCGCCATGGCTGCCTGCATGTGCCTGCCCCGCGGCCTGCAAAATGGGCATTTGTTTGCTTTGTTGTTTGTGGGATTCTATGCACTGGATGGAGTCCGCCTTGGCCCACTCGTTCCCGTCTGCTGGCCACTGCAGGGCGCAAGTGGCGGCGAGGGGCAAGGCGGGACAGCACTACGACTTGATTCTGTACGGCGACTCCAACACAGCCAACATGCTGCCCACCCGCAGCAGGGTGTGGGACCCTCACTTTAAAGGCCTGGTGGCTGATCCGCTGGGCATGGGTGGCAGCAGCGTGGAGGTGAGAGGCTGCGGATCGGTTCCTGCCGATGCACCCGCCTTGCAACCCTCAAAGGCTAACTCTCGTCCTGCGCCCCGTGCACCGCAGGAGCTGGCATGGCGCATAGTGTACGGCGGCGAGGCCCCCCGCCCTCCTCCCAGAGTGGCAGTCATTTTGGTGGGGTACAACGATGCGCGCTACCACCCCAAGTCGCACGGAGTGGAGCGCCTGGACTGGCTGCTGGGCTGGCTGCAGGCCAGCTGGCCGCGCACGAGGCTGGCAGTGCCGGCGCTGCTGCCAAGCCAGTACATAGACTTGCGCCCGCTCAGCGCACAGTACCGCGAGGTGGCCAAGCGGCGAGGCATAAAATACTTCAGCAGGTGCAACCGAGGGCTGGACCCGCGCAACAGGCAGCAGTACATCGATGGCACCCACCTGCAGCCCGCCGGCCTGCGGCAATGGGTGACGTGCATGGCGGCGGTCGTGCGACCGCTGCTGAACGCCACGTCGGCAGCAGGATAGGAATGCAGTGCCCTTAGCCGCACCATCCCTCTTAACTGTTTTGATATCTGTATGCGCCCACCTGAGCGGCAGCGGGGAGCGCAGCACAGCGCAGCGCACCTTGGACCATTTGACAGCCTCGTTCCACCGCGGTGATGTTCGACATCGCTCTATTGGCGCATTGCACGCATGCCTCATTCTGTTTGTCTGCAGGGTGAGGCCGGGCCGGGTGCTGCTGGGGCTTCTGTGTCCCTCGCTGAGCGGCGGACTGCCAGATAGCCTCCGCTCGATTTAGCGAATGCCCAAGCGCAAGCAGCAGCAAGAAGAGCCTGGCGAGCAGCAGGAACCGCCGGCTGCTGTCGCCAAGCGGCGCCGGTCGACAAGGGCCACGCCCAGCACAGCAGCAGAGAAACGAGCGGAGCCGCCAGCAGCCGCCGCTAAGCGCCTCCACGATGCAGGCGCAGCGGCGGCGGCGGCGGGACAGGCGGCGTCTGACGAAGGCGACGCCGACGGCAGCAGCACCTCGGAGGGCGAAGCGGAGGAGCACAGCGGCCATGACAACCTGTCCAGCGATGTCCTTCGAGATTCTAAGGAGGGTGGCAAGGTGCGGGCTGCTGCATCCCTCTGTCACCGCAACAACTCAACCCACCCTCTTGCCTCCCGAAGACCTGCTGGCTCCCTCCCCGCTCCTGCCTGATTTGCTGCGCTGCAGCGCTGGCAAGGAGTGTACCCGGAGGGCCGGATCTTCGGGGCGGCAGCATTTCGGGTGCGGGTGAGGATGCCGCCGGAAGTGGGCGGAGGGCGCGGCAAGATGCAGGAGCTGGGCACACACGCCAGCAGGCAGGCGGCGGCCCGCGTGCACGACCGCGCCCTCATCGCCATCATGGGCCGCAAGGTGCGCGTGTGTGTGGCGGGCTCGCCGAATCCCGCAGCACCAGACGCCACACCCCCCTCCGCCGCGCGCACCCAGCCCAGCCACCCCCCCGGCCTGGCGCTGTCCCTGACCCGCCCAGCAACCTGCGGCGGCTGTGATGCAGGTGGCGGCGCCCACACTCAACTACCCGCTGGCGCACTACCCTGAGCGGGAGGAGCGCCAGCGCTTTGGGCCTGAGCTGCACGCGTACCTGCTGAGGCTCAGGTGCGGGCTGTGTAGGCTGCACGCCGCAGCCGCTGGGCCTGTGCAAGTTATGTGCTGCTCTCACCGAGCTTCCGGCCCTTCTGGGGCCAACAGGGCACCGCACATCTGCCCTGCTGATAAGCTCACGCATGCCTGCCACACACGCGTGCATGCGTGCTTGCTTGCAGCAACGGGGCTGGGGAGGAGGGGTCGGATGGGGAGCAGCAGGAGGAGAAGAAGAAGGAGCCACGCCCGTATCGCGGCGCCACCGGGGAGGAGGCGGCGCAGCTCCGGCGGGAGGCGCTGCGCAAGGCAGGGGTGAGGATGTGTGGCCCACCAAGACATGCGGCCCCTAGCGCCGCTCGCTGTGGGCAGTTTTGTAGGCAGCACTCCCCTGGAGTGCGCCCCTAGCTGGAGGCGGTCGGGCTGCGTGATGCCTGCTTGAGCCCCGCTCCTGCTGTGCCCCTTGGGTGTGCCCCGCTGTAGGAGGTGCGGAGGGCCAAGCTGCGGCATGGCAGCGCGCATGCAGAGGCGCTGGTGGCCGCGCATCGGGCGGCAGACCCGCTGTGGGCGCCGCCGCGCCAGGCCTGCGGCGTCTGTCCGGCCTGCAGACAGGTCGGTGGCGTGTGCAGCGCATGAGGATCTGCGCTTGGCTGGGGCTGACAGCAACCATCACGCGGCGGCAGGCTCGCGCATTGCTGCCTGGGCTGCTCGCCTGCTGTGTGTTCCTGCCTACATCCGCCACGTGCTCGCCGCGCCTGCCGGCCTGCAGCCCTGGCGCAGCGACCTGGGCGGGTGCGTGCGCCTGGCTGCCATGAAGGCGGCAGGGCACCAAGAGCAGCGGCTGGTGCGCCTGCTGGCGGCCAACCCCGGCTATGTGGCAGGTGGGCGCAGCTGGTGGCGCTTGTGTGGTGGCAGCGGCTCGCGATCCTTGCCTGGCAGCGGAAAGGGAGGGTGGCCCGTAGTTGTATGCACTACTCGAGAGGAGATGCAGGTTGGAACTTTCATGGTGCTTGATGTGTTGCCGCCTCCCTGCAGCGCTGGAGGCAGAGAAGCAGCGGAAGGAGCAGGAGCAGGAGGGGCGGCAGCGGAGCCCCCCCAGGCAGCAGGCGCCGTCGCTGCCGCCGCAGCAGCAGCGACAGCAGCAGCAGCAGCAGCGTGCAAGGCAGCGTGCGCGGGCTGCAACGGCGGCCACGCCACCGCCGGCGGCTGACCTCGAGTGGTTGCAGCAGCCGGCCAGGCGCTCCCAGGCGACCAACCAGTCGCTGCGCAAGCTGCAAAAGGATGCCATGGCGCCGATGCGGCAGCAGCTGGCCTGGGACCAGTCTCAGTTTGCTGCTGCTCTGGAGCAGGAGAGGGAGCAGGGCCCGCCCCGCGCCGCCGTGGGGACTGCCACGGCAGGCAGCCGCCCCAAGCGCCGCGGCGGCGGCGGCAGCAGCGCCGGCGGCGCCCCCGCTTCCTCCGTCGCAGCCGCCGCCGGCCAGGGGCAGCAGGCTGCCGACATGGCGCTGGTGGATCCCTTCAGCTGGCTGACCACAGCGCGCGCGCCGCGAGCCGCCATCCAGGCCCAGATTGATCCGGCCGACCTGCTGCACCTGGCCGCACTGTGCCAGCAAGGGTGAGGCGCAGGGTTGGACCGTGCGTGTGCGTGTGGAGGGGCCATCCAAAGCAGGCCGGTGCTGCAGATGCGCCACTGCCGAGCGGGGTAGCCCCTCCCCCGGCGTGCCTGCGTGTGCAGGGGCATGGCGGCGCCGCTGTCGGTTGATCAGGCAGAGGAGGTTCTGGAGGAGGAGGAGGGGGTGCAGGAGAGCCTGCAGCGCCTGCTGAGGCGGCACCAGCGCCTGCAGCGGCAGGGGCAGCAGCAGCATCAGGAGGCGGGGGCGAGTGACGATGCCAGCGATGGCGGGGAGCTGGAGGTGGCGGTGGGGGAGGGCGAAGGCCCCGGCCCCTGCCTCCTCTGCGGCTCAGCCCGGCACGGCCGCGACATGAAGCGGTGCCCGGTGATGCAGATGGCGCTGGCTGTGCCCAAGCCGCGCAAAGGTGTGTGTGGCAGCATGTGTGTGGGTTAGACATCAGGGCTGCCCTGTGGCGTGGCGAGGGCTGGCTGCTGCGGCGCCCATCGTGCATCCCCTGGCCTCCCAGGCCTGCTTAACCGAGTGGCTTGCTGCTTGCAGCAGGGCTTATGGTGCAGCTGCCTGCCTTGCGGCCCTGGCTGTGTGCAGAGTGCCCTGGATGTGCCGACCGGGAGGTGCCGGGCTGCAAGCTGTGCCTGCACCGCTCGTCGCGGGTGGCACTGGCGCAGCCCTTTGTGCAGCGTGCGCCCTGGGTGGACCAGCTCGCGCCTGCAACCCGGCAGCTCATGCTGGCTGTGCAGGTGTGTGCGTGTGTGTGTTCTCTGCCTGCCCGCCTGCCTGGCGGCTGGTTGTGGGGCCCGCACGTGTGGCTGGGCGGCCCGGTATGTACTGGCCTGTATGGTGCCCTGCTTACCCACCCATGTGGCATGTGGCGTGTGGCTTCTGAGCAGGGATGGTGCGATTGGCCTTGGCTCGGCCGCTCGGCTCATGCACATGTTGTGCCTCTGCCACGCCTCTGCCACGCCTCTGCTGCAGGAGCTGGCCAGCGCCGCAGTGGCGGACCTGGACGCCACCGCCGCCGCCTATCGCTGCACGCCCAAAGCGCTGCTGGCGGTGGGGCTGCTGGCGGAGGAGGCCGCGCGGCGCGAGGTGGTGGCGCGCTTTGGAAGCGAGGCAGCGACGCCGGCGCCGGCGTGGGGCTAAGCAGAGATTACTGCTGGTGCTTCTTGTTTGTAAACCATCACGCAACTTCAGTTGAGGATGTAAGTTCTGAAAGCCGGAAGGAATAAGCAGGAAGTAGTATAGGAAGGCATTGGGGGAGGAGGTGGAGAAGCATTGGTAGTAAAAAGGGTCAAAGCTCAAAATGGATAACATCTTGCAGCGAGAACTTGGAAAACCTGATAAACTGTTATGCATGGCGGTTGGCGTGCACTTAGAAAATTGACGAAATCATCTCAGGGCAAAGAGAAGGGGCAGAATAGTCACCGAGCCTGACCGTCACGAGCATTGCAAGGCACGGAAAAGCACTGAAGCAGATGCATAGAGCAGAATTGTCAAGTGGACCCTATTCATCGCTGCCCGGCGGAGCCAGGTATTGCGCCGCAAGGCAGCAGCCCGACCAGACCACCAGCAGCACCGCCCACCAGCACATGACCCAGGGGGCGCTGGCTGGCAGCTGCGGGCCGTCCTCGTCCTCACGCCGCTGTGGGCGCTGCTGCTGGCGCCGCTGCTGCTGCTGCTGCTGCGACGGCGGCAGCAGGAAGCGGAGGCCTGTCTCGATGGCATCCCCAAGCTTGGAGGCTGTGCCCTGACTCTGCTGCGCGGGTGGCGGGCCACGGGGGACGTTGGGCAGCAGCAGCAGCGTGGGCAGCAGGTAGCCGAGGGTCGCCCAGCAGAAGAGCAGCACGGCCACGCGCTGGTGGTCGATGCCTGCACAGGCGGGGGTTGTGGGAGGCGCAGAGGCAACGGAGCGGCAGGCCACGTCAGCCGGCACACATGCACATGAGGGCACTGGCCAGCCTAGACCGGAAGGCTCAGGGGCACCCCTGGCTCATGCACCATGGCGCGCACCGTGGGGCCGACTCCCTGGCCGGCTCCCGCTCACCCTTGGGGGCGATGATGGTGACAGAGGGCACCGTGGCGGAGGCCACAAACGACATGAAGCCGTTCACGGCGCCCACCACCGCCTCCACCTCGGGGCTGGTCAGCAGCTGCACGCGACAGGCAGGCGGCGGCGGCGGCGGGGGCGGCGGGGGGCGGGGACGCCGGCGTCCGTCGGCCGGGGTGGTTGAGGTGGCAGGCAGGTGGGCGCTGCCAGCTGGCAGCCGACCCGTTGCGGGCTGGCAGGCGACCCAGGCATGTGCACACACGCATGGCATTCTTCCTTCATCTTCTGTGCCACCAGCGGATGCCACGCAAGCGCGCTCACCTTGCTCTGCACGTAGCTGCTCAGCCCGAAGCGGACCAGCAGGGACACGTTGATGGCTTGCAGCACGAGGTGCAGGCGGAAGGGCACCCTCCAGCCCATGGACGTGAAGTTGAGCAGCGCGATGCGGATGCCTGCGGCGGCGAGCGGGGGCGGGAGGCGTGCGAGGGCGGTGAGGGGGGCGTGAGCACAGCTGGTGCCGCCCAGCAACAGGCAGGCCGCGGCGCGGGCCTCCCGCAGGCGGTTCGGCTCTCACTCATGAAGACTTGGAACACGTTGGACACGAGGCCCAGCCTGCCGGCGGCCACATCGGGCGCCAGGGCGTTGAAGACCTGCGGGGAGGCGAGCGGGCGCAGTGCGCACATGGGCAGCGCGGCTCTGCCTGCCCACGCCGGGAGGATCGGAGGCACGCGCCGGCGCAGGCACCGAACGCGGCTCGTGGCAGGCCGGCCGTGCCGCGCCTGCTGCTCTCACCCGCAGGCTGAAGTTGAAGGGAAGGGCGAAGAGGAAGACGCGGAGGAAGGCGAGGGCGGCGACCCGGTTGCGGACGTAGCTGCGGCGCGCCCAGGTGGGCCAGGCCACCGAGACGAGGAACACTGCGGCGGGCAGGCGGCAGGCGGCGGCGGCGGCGCAGGGGGGCTGCTCGCAAGAAGCGCAGCGCGGGGAGGGGCAGCGCGGTGGGCACACACGCGGCCGCCGCCTCCGTCCTCCAGCCACCCGCGCCGCGCCGCGCCCACTTGCTGACAGTGGGCACTCAGGCAGCAGCACTCACTCCCTGCCATGCCCACGATCGCGTTCCAGTTCTCAAAAGTCGACAGAGCGGGGGCGACCTTGACCGCCGTGCCTCCCCACATGGCCAGTCCCAGCATGGCAAAGCGGCGGTCCCATGCCACAATCTTGTCCACCGCGGACGCCTGCGGGCTGCTGCCGCCGCCGCTGCTCAGCCCGTGGGTCCGCTCCATGCGGGCCTCGGCTGCAGCCAAGGCAAGCCAGGGCAGCACAGCCTTTACCTTAGTTTATGGCTAATAGCTGGAAAGCATGCGGCTCAACCGTGTTCGACGCGCAGTGGCATCGACACGCTGCTCAGAAGGCGGGCGCGGGCGGGACGGCCGCCATGCATGTGCGACTGCAGGTTGGGACTCCCCCGCGGCCCAAGGCGGCACCAACGAAGCTCTGCAGCCGCTTACCTCTTCACGCCGAGGCTCCCAGTTTGCAACAGGCTACTACGGGCAGACCCAAGTGACGGCACAGCAAGCGCACTCTTGTCCACCCTAGACACTCTGGGAAGCACTGGTGCGTGCTGTGCAGCGCCCCGGGCTCTACAAGTGACTTGTGACAAACTGACCCTGTGCGATGCGTCCCCAGCAGCTGCTCCCGCAGAAGTTCAACGGTACGAAGATCCGAAGCTGACACCGTGCAAGAAGTGAGCAGCTCTGTTTCATGGTTGCCAGGTATCCAGGGACCATACCCCCTCAGCCTGCCCGGCAGGCGCCTGCCTGCCGCCGCCTCATCAGCAAACCCTCCATCAGATCAAAAGCTTCTAGGTCAATAATGGGCAGGTGAGGGTGCTGAAGATGCATCCAATGGCCCCTGCAATAGCCATGCACGCTCTCCCGCCTCGGCCGGCGCCGCCCAGCAGACACAGCTTGCGGTTTTACATCAAGCTGTGGAAAGAAGAAGGGCAGGGTGGAGCCAGGCGGAACTAAAATTTGGAGATTGAATGCGGCAAGTGAGGTGCAAAACACAATGCGGGCAGTGGGCACTTTGCACTCCTATATGTGTGTGAGGCAGTAGGTGGGGGAGGCGGGGGGGCATGCATCGCTCACGGCGTCAGGGTGGCGCGTGCGGCACGGGCCAGCGGCGCAGCCAAAGCAGCGCAGCGGACACGACTGGAAAGGGGGGGCGGGTGCGGCACACGATGGGTGCGCACGGCGCCTGATTGAAACAGTGAGGACGGGGGGGCAGCGGGCGTGGTCCCTGGCACCGCCAGGCATGGGTGGTGAGGGGGGGCCCAAGCCCACCGGCCGTCCCGAGGCCGAAAATGGGATTGCGGGTGGTACAGCTACACACTAGCCGGCGCCGTGCCACGCCGCGCCGCCAGTCCGGGCATCAGACGGCGGCGCGGCGCAGCCCAAGGCGCCGGCAAGGTCAATAAAGCATCAAAACTGCTGTTGTGAGCAGTCGCGGAAGGCGCGGGCGCGCGGCCCGCAGCAGCAGGGCAGGCCGGCCCCACTGGCCGCTGCCCAAAACAGCTGCTGCGGCTGGCTGCGCTGCAGCAGCCCCCTCATCACGCCTGCTGCTGGTTCAGCTGCTGCTGCTGGTTGGCTGCATCAGAGAAGGCTGCATCAGAGAACGCGAGGGCCATCTCCCGCTGCTCCACCAGCCCCGCGGCGGCAGCAGCGGCAGCAGCTGCAGCCGCAGCGGCCGCCGCGGCAGCCACAGCGGCAGCCTCCGCCTCGTCCGCCGGCACCTGGCGAGGCTTGACGTCCAGCCAGAGGCCGTTGGTGGTGTGGATGGTGGCACCCGTGGTCATCTCGACTGCACACAGGCAGGGGCCGGGGAGGGTAAGAGATGGGAACGGCAGGAGAGGGCAAGACGGCAATCAAGTAGCAATCAAGTCGAGCGCCAAGCCCGCCATGTGGTGCACTGGGCGGTGCTCCGGCCCCGTGCAGCGGCCAGGCCTCGGCCCCTCACCTGGCGGCGCGTCGGCGGCGCGCTGGAAGTCGAAGCGCCGCACCAGCATGGCCAGGGCGGTGATGGCCTCAAACAGCGCAAACTGGTCGCCTGCGGGGGGCGGGGCGGGGAGGGTGGGGCAGGAGCGATGGGTGGATGAT